CACCAATTAAAAATTATATAATGTAAGTCTAAGGGAAAATGAGTCTCAACTTAGGGACGCTCTTGATGCACCAATTATGTCCTCATCTCAGGGTCTGACTATTTACAGAAATATTCTGAAAATGAAACGCGTCTGAATTAAATTTTTAGTAGAATCAATATCAGATTGAATGTGAATTTTTCATTATTTCCATTTTTTAAAGATTGTCTATAGAAGTTGGTTGAATTTTTTTTGGCCCTTGAACACCAACAACTTGAAAAATTCAATTACAGCCTTACAGGTACAGTATTTTGAGATTATAGGTTGAACTAAGTATGTTGAAAAAAAAATTTCTTAAGATTGTTCTTTTGAAGAAACTTCCAGGACCTAAGGAAAAAAATTGTTGGAAGACCAAATTCGTTGTAACAAGATTCCTTGTAACGGAATTGTGTGTTCAGTAGCTGTTCAGAAATATGTATGGTCTATAAGTGCGGGCCAGTGATAATTATTCATTTTATTATGGGCTTTCTTTTTACCGTATTCTTTGCTTTTCAGCATAGGCCATATCTTGAAATCGTTGAGATTGTCTAATAATAAATTGAAGAAAACATGTGTGTCACTGCAAAAATGTGCACAGAAATTTTGTATTTTCCCTTTGCCTTTTCTGCTCAACTCTAGAAAAAAAATGAGCATCCAAAATAATATTGTAGTTATTCTAGGATCGGCAGTAGAATTATTTTTACGATGCGATTTTGAAATTTTTGGTCTGTTGAAATCCATTGATGCTGCAGGAGGTCGGAATAGAAAGACGTTTCACGTAATTTTATATGATAATCCATTTTATGGGCAGGCGTTCTGATTAATTGAAAAAAAAACTTGTGGTCGTCCGAAAATTTGGGTTTTTGCCGATAGGATTCCCTTTAGAACAAAAGAAATACAATGGAAGAATGTGAGAAATAAATATTGTGTTATTATAATTTGCGAAAGAGAAGAAACATATTTTCTATAATTGAATTTTAAAATTGTCAAAACTCCCGAAAAAAATCTGTGAAGGTGACAGAAGAAAAGACGTTGAACGTTATTTTATTTTGTGCTTGGTTTTAAAATTGAATAAAATTTTTTGGACCGCCTTTGTGATAAAAGAAAAAATTTATTATTGCGAAAATGCGCTCAAATTCTTCAAAATATAATTTTTTATTGGTCTTTCTGTAGTGGTCGAGAAACAAATTTTGTCAATCATGAAGAATTTAGAATGAAAAAAAAAAAATATTGCGTTGATATGTCCTGAGGAAGGACGCGATGATACTCGGATTTTTAAAATTGAAATTAGAGTTGAAAAACAGTCATTTTCGAATTTCTAATTGGTCATATAACTGTTTACAGGTCGTTGTACTAAAATTTGACAGAGTGGTTTTTGTTGTTTTCTAAGGAGTCATTTTATACGAACTAATCTACAAGAGTAACCTCATCAGAAATTAAGCAAGAGATTAAATAAAATCATTTTGTGCAGTACAGTATATATTTAAAAAATAAATATAAAAAAGATATATGTATATATAATACAGTATATATATTTATATACAATTAATAAATATATTTTAAATCTTTTAAAATTGCTGCTGGAACTAAATACTGACTCTGAATTTCTCTATTCAAAGGCGGAAAGAAAAAGTGGAGCAAAATTGATAAATGCGGATAATTGTAAAATAATCAACAGATCAGCTTCCTGAAGAATAAATGATTGGTAATTAATCTAGAGAAGTGATTAAAAACTGGGCTTTTATCATCATGACGTCTACGAGATTTATGTTTTACATTTGATTCACTTCTTCGTGACGAAGAATTCGTTGTACTTAAAGATTAAATTAATTAAAATAAATTTCGATTAAATTAAATATCGTGAAGATTGAAAAAAAAATATTTACAACAGAATGGAACGTGGAAATAAATGAGCAATGACTGAAAAAATCTCGTTTTCTTTCTGTTCGTTCACCAGGATGTGCGATGGTGGATTCCTGCTCGAACATTTTGACCGGAGACCAGTTTTACAACTTTTTGAACTACAACTTCGACCGGCACTATTTGACAAACCGGGCCCCGTTTGGACTCTATTTCCACTCCGCCTGGCTCAAGAATAACCCGGAATACTTCGACGCCTTCCTGTATTGGATCGACGAAGTCATGTCGCAGCACAAGGACGTCTACTTTGTCACCATGACGCAGGTGTGTGTCATTTACATGCGATACGTATATTTGAACTAATTGGATATGACTGGAAAATTCTTTTTCGTCGTCGTCGTTTTATTTTTTGTTTCTCTCGTGAGCTGATGTTATTAGACTCGTTCTGGCGCAGTAATGCGGTACAATTTAATGCAGCATTCGAAAAACTTTTACAGGGGGGGGGCCTTGAGCGACGAACGTCATAAGCGACGAGTGGTTTAAATGAAGAACCGTGATTCTGACGTAGTTTTGCCTCAAGAAAAGAACTTGACCTGAGGAGAAAACCTCAAGTCAAGGAAGGAAAATCGTTGGATTTTGTTTTCCTTTTAAAAATTCTATAAATTTGTTTACATTTTAATGACGATATATTCACGAATAAAGAAAGAAGAATTCGAAAAAAAATTTTACGTTGGCGGAAAATAGAAATTATGAGGGAATTTGAATTTACGGTGAGACCCCAAGATGCGGATGCAATTGGTGCATCATGAGTGTCCCTAAGTCGAGTCTCATTTTCCCTTAGACTTACATTATGTAATTTTTAATTGGGGTTTTATGGACAAAATACTCACCATAATTCCATGGAAATAAAAATTGTCTCCAAATTTAAACGGAATTGATATATTTCAACACAATATAAACATTTAGGAAATTCAATACTGATACCTCTGTACAGTACATAGGAATGTTGGCATTCTCTGTAAAAATAACATTCAAGTGAAAAATAGAGAAGGAAGTCCCTCTATGCTGCAGGTAATTTTTTAAATTTGCTAAATGGATGGTAAATTGGTGAGAGAAATGCCCAAGAACTTTTTGTACATCAATTTTAGGGTTGGAAATATATGTTTCTTGTAATTTGGCCAGAAATGAATTAGCAATTTTATCCCAAAATTTCCCTATGTTGAGTCAATGTCCTCATGTTGGGCCTTTTCATTAATTTTTTTATGGGAAAATAAGTGTCCGTATGTCAAATTGTCTGCAGGTCAAGGTGTCCACATGTGGGGGTCTCACTGTACTTTGTGTATTCAATTTTCTATACAGTATTTTCAACCAAAACTTATCAATCACAAATGTGTTTTTTAATTTAGAAATGGTTTTGTGGTGTGGGTACAAATTTTATTTCGAAATAATATTCATAAAGTTTTCATCAAATGTGTGTCATTTTAAAATCGTAAATTCTGGAGGTTCATTTTCCATTTAAAATTGGTTTTCAGTGTTTTTAAAGACTCCTTTTTCATTCCTACAACAGTGCCAAGTCACTGTAAAATGGCATTATAAATAAGATCTTGCTCATTTCAGATACCAATCAACTGCAGGTGCCAAAGTTTGATTACTCTTTGTCTGAATGAAAAATCAAAATTTTTTCATCACAGTTGAAATCGCGTTATGAAGAGACATTCTCACAAAGATAGTTAACTGTATACAAAATTGGGACATTTCTGAAATCGAATATTTAATTCGAATCCGAGTTATTTTTTCTGGCCGTATCAGAAAATAAATGAGCGAATAAAATTCCCGAGTAGAAAATCATTTTCATTTGACCTCCCTACTGATTGTCTTTGATTTCATTGATTTATTATTTTTATTATTAGTGTATTATTAATTTTATTATTATTAATCTTATCATTATTTTAGTATCAATTTTATTATTAGTATTAATTTTATTATTAGTATTAATTGTATTATTAGTATTAATTTTATCATTAGTATTAATTTTATTATTAGTATTAATTTTATTAGTATTAATTTTATTATTAGTATTTATTTTTTATTAGTATTTATATTTTTATTAATATTAAATTTATTATTAGTATTAATTTTATTATTAGTATTAATTTTATTATTAGTATTAATTGTATTATTAGTATTAATTTTATTATTAGTATTTACTTTTCTATTAGTATTAATTTTATTATTATTAAATTTTTATTATTATCAAGTTTGATCTTGAGTGTAAATTTTTTTCGTTTCTAGTAAAAATTATTTCTGTTTCTGTACTGTATTTCTATTTTATTTTGATGATAATTCAATTTTTGTTCTGAGAATCATGTGGAGTACCGTATTTTCATTTTGAGTGCTACTTATTCATTGTCGTAAAGAGCAGTAAGTAATGATTCAGGATACTTAATTTCAAAGTCAGGATGGAAAAATGGAAGCGAACTTCGGATGATTGTGAGGAAAATGCTGAATAAACCAACAAACAGTTGAATACGTTTCTAAAATGAGTCATCACAACACTTTTTTAGCTTTATTGTTCTGCCAGAGAACCTGGCATATTTTTTGCAGTACTGAAAAAAATTTTCGTAACGGAATCGTGTGTGCATGGGATAAAACAAATGCAAGAATATTTATTCCGCTATTTGAAAATCTCTCCCTTTTGTTTTTTGTTGTAGGCAATTCAGTGGATTCAGAATCCAAGGACGACTGACGAGGTGAAGAGTTTCGAGCCGTGGAAGGAGAAGTGCAACGCAGAGCCCAGTGAGAGCGTGTGTGGCACCCCCAGGGCATGTCCCCTGACTTCCAAGGAGATCTCTGGAGAGACTCTGCGTCTGCACACTTGCGTCAAGTGCCCTGCCAACTACCCCTGGCTGCTGGACCCTCTAGGAGAGGGCAGGTAATGTCTTGAGATGAGAATTTAAAGGGGGAATCTCTTTTTTTTTGCACTGCTTGCTCTTCTGCAAGGTGACAATGTTCAGAGTCCAGTAGCCTTTTTAAGAGCATATTATGAAAAGATTGCGCAGACAAAGCGCATTTGGGCAAACAAAATATACAGTGAGACCCCCACTTGCAGACACCTTGACATGGGGACAATTTGACATAGGGACATTTATTTTTCAATAAAAAAAACATTGCATGATGAAATTGTCAATGAATTTCACCAAAATTGAGTTTTATTTGGCTTGATTGCAAGAAACAGATATTTCCAACCCCAAGATCTATGCAAGAAAAATTCTTTTGTACTTTTCCCATCACTTTCCCATCCATTCAGCTGATTTAAAAAAATTACCTATTGCACTGAGGGACTTCCTTATTCTCTCTTTGTGACTTGAATGTTATTTTTACAGATGCCAACATTTCAATGAACTGTACAGCAGTATACTATTCAATGCTCCAAATGTTCTTTTGGGTTGAAAATATATTCCCTGAATCAAATTCAAGTGACAAACAATTTTTTTTCATGGAATTCTGAAGAATATTTATTCCATAAAACACCAATTGAAAATTATATGAAGTAAGTCTATGGGAAAACAAGACTTGACTTACAGACAATTCAACTTAGGAACACTCTTGATGCACCAATTATGTCCACATCTGGGGGTCTCACTGTATACAGTATATATATATATATATATTTTTTTTTTTTAATGTGATCAAGATAACTATGTAGATAACAAAGGCAACATTGTTTGTAAGGAAAAGACCGTTTGTTCAAAATATCATGTGATAAAAAAAAAAAACGATTCTGACAAAGAACATTTGCAAAAAAGGCTAATGTTAAAAAGATCATGTCAACAAAATAGCATGTGATGAGAGGACCATTTGGTCAAAAGATCATATGTGAAAATAATCATGCTGACACAGACAATTTACAAAAATAGCATGTTATGAGAAGGCCATCTGGGCAAAAGATAATGAAATGAACTTTTTTCAACATATACATGAAGAGCATAGATAAAAAATAGAGCTTGTGATGGGAAGACCATCAATAGGGTTTGTGTTTCTTTTTTGAGAAAAGTGATTTTGATAATTTGATGCAACGTTGAACTTTCAAAAAGATGAAAGATGTATTACAGTACTGTGCTGGAAAAAGTGGTGGGATTTGATCATGAAGGTTTGAAGAATATGGAAGTCCGGAATTGATGTAGAAAATATTCACGAAAATTTTCAAAATAACCGGATCTCATATTCAAACAAAAATACTCAATGTGGAAGATTTACACCCTTCTTATGTTTCTGATTTTTCCATAGAGGGGGAAAAGTGATGAACTGAAGCTAAGTTATTTCATCAAGGCATGATTGAGTAACTATCTCACTAAGCTGCACAAATGAGACAATTTGAAAGAAAATTTTTACCCACAAAACATCATAGAAGCTGTGCGCATAATTTTAGAATCTTCTAGAAAGTTCCAAGAGGTAACCAGCTTTGAAAACTGGTTTCAAAAAACCAGTTGCTGGCCCGGAAGGCCCTAGAGAGAACCAACGGCCCTGTTTCTCCACAATTAAATTATTTTTGTTGATTTCCTGGACTGTGATTATTTTCCCAAATGCGGACAAGGGTTGATGAGCGAATTCATTATTTTTAATTAATTATAAAAATGGTTCAATTTTTTAATTTTGGAGGTGAGAAGTGTTGTTTTCTGGAATCTTTCAAGATAAATGGAATTAAAAACGATTTTGAGAGATTGAAGGGGAAGATACATTTGATCCATTGGCGTTGATTAAATGGAAAGCTTACATGGGGTTCATCATTTGCGGAATCCAATTTATAAAAACTGCCTGACATTTTTTTTTGTCTTGTATATTAGTGTATTTTTCCCTGCTTGAAAGAAGCGATAGATTACGCTTGAGTGGGTGAAAGGAACAAATATGTTTCTCTTGACTGCATACTGTGATGAAGTCTTGCTAATTTTTTCTATCTCTGCTTCCAGGATTTAAGGGTTGAAGAGGACTGTGAATGGACCAATCAGAGTGACTTTGTGTGGACAAATTATTTTTTTTCCTTTTTCCTAAAAGGGACATGCGTGAGTGTGTATCCAGGTCACTATAGAAGTGTTGGAGGTTGAATTGTTTTTTCTTGTTTTTTTTTCAATTGTGTGCTTTTGTGGTGTTCAAAAGCTTCTTTATTCAATTTCTCCCAGAAAAATACCTTTGAGCTGCTAGCAAGGGATTCATCAAGGTCAAGTCTCTTGGAGGCTGAAGAAAAAAAAAGAGTGCTTGGGTCAAGTCAAGTCTTCTGTTGACATTCTTGGAAGGTTGCCAAGAGAGGTTGTAAATCGAGAGGAAAATATGTTGGGGAGTCCCAGCAATGAAATCAAAAACTGGTTGCGTAACTGTTGTTCATGGAATGATATGGCCTCCACTTTTTTTTTTGAGCTTGTGTTTTTCCACTTGAATTTTATTTGCATCATTCAAATTTACATTCTTGAGATGAGAGGAGGCGCTGACCTTTTTTGAAGACTTGTAAGCTTGACCTTTAATGGTCAAAAGAGGAAAATCAGTCTTGCCTTGAACAATATTCAGTGAATGCTCTTCAAGTTGTCTTGTTTCATGGTGCAAAGAAAATGTTTCTACTGTGAGGAGAAAGTTATGAATAGTCATTTTGAAATTTAAATTCTGTATGAATATTCTCTCATAAATTTCAAAATGTTTGTAGAAAGAAATTTACCTGCTGCTCTGTTGGATGAGTGACTCAAGGCTGAGATAACTGTGATTATTGATCTCAAAGTCACATCCTTGCAGTTCATAGCCTGCTTTTTCTTTCATTATTTATTTTAACACTCCACTGCCAAAATTCTCAACAAGGTGCGAAACTGATCCACAGCAGGCAGAAAAGAATTTGATTTTCAAGAAGGTGCCAAAATTAAAATCACATGATCCCTCCAAGAGGTCATCTCCATGACCTTGTTTTGCTGACTGATCAAAAGAAAAAATGAAGATTGAGTCATAATCAAATTATTCAAGGTTGTGTCTGGGATTGAAGACAGGTTGACTCTCTACTATGATCTTGTCTGCAATAATTGTCTCAGTATAATGGATTTTTGTGTGTCCCATATGGTTCACTCCCTTGAATATTCTGCATTAATTTTTCAACTAGTTCTAAATGGGGGTGACGTTTACTCACTGTGGGGGGAAAAGTAAAGGAGTAATGGCTACAATCCAGATTTCAATTGAAGTGATTTACTGGGAGCTCAGTGGTCATTGTTAGGCTGTGTGATAGTGTCCCCATCTAGCAGCTCAAAACCAAACTTTTCTGCGTTTTCCCATATTTTTATGTCTCACATTTGTTGGTTCAGAAGATTGAGGCAAGTGTTCCCTGCCGCTCCTTCTAAATACTGCTGATGGTTGTTTGTCCTGAATTTCAAGCATTGAATTGTGTTGACTGACTTTTTTTCCTGCTTGTGTTGTTTGGATTCATTTTGAGAGCTATTTAATGCGGTAAATCGACTGGATCGGAGTGTCAAAAAGGTTTTTAATAAAAGATAATGGTTTTATGTTAAATAATCTTTATTTGGGAGTATGACTTGATGCACTTTGAATTTTTGTATTTGAATGCGTGTTATTGGTATCTTTTATTCGCAGAAAAAGTGAGTGTTCCCCCGGATTTTCCTGGGGGTTGAAGTGTGATGCAAAGAATGCTGAGAGTGATTTCTTTTGGCCTCTTGGCATCCGTTTGCTTGGGTAAATTCGATTTTTCGTCTTCAACGAAAGCCGCGATACTCATGATTTTTTTCTTTCTATTTTAAGGATCAAGTGTACAAGAGAGACCGCGTCGGCAAACCGCAGCAGAAGGTGAAGGCAACAATGACTTGAGGTCGTTGACGATCGAAGAGTTGTGTAAAAACCGACAGCCTGATGAGTTCTTCAGACTGACGACAGAGGGCGACTGCAGAGATGTCGTAAGGTTAGACAATGAACCTGAAATTATGTTGCAGCGACATCTGGATTGAGCTTCTCGATATTCTGTTCAAATGCTGTAAATATTAGATTCTGTTGACTTGACATCTGAAAGGATTTTTTAGAATAATATTCGAGCGACATCTGGAGGAATTTTCTCGTATTTTTCCATGATTGGTTTAATGTAGCATTAAATACTGTACTCTTATACTATACAGTCTACCTCAATATTAAGTGTAATTTGTTGGGACTCCGAAAATCTGTTGACATTTTTTGGGGGGTTAATTATGGCTTTAGTTAGATGGGCTGATCATAGTTGTTTATTTCTAGCCAAATAACTGTATTAGTTAAATGCATCATTCACAGATGTTCCACTTGTCAGAAGATGCCTAATCCCTTGTGGAAGGGTGAAGAAAATAACTTGGGTTCAATTTTTTTCACTTTCTAGACCAGGTGTCCTGAAATATAGCATTACAGTACAGTACTTTGAAAGCAAAAAAAGGCCTTGAAAATTTCCACTGAAGGATGCCTGACCCGAAAAGTCATAAACGGTTAAATTGATTTGAACGTGGAGGCGTTTTTGGGGATTAAACTGGAAATTTGAATTCGGGAGGGGTCTTCAAGGTTCACTAATTTGTATTGTATTGGGTGTGGTTTTGGGTTCAAGATGTGACAGAGCTGGATTGACTGGAAAGATCCGTCTGGCTGGTGTCAGATGTCCAAATGGTCTGGCTTTTGATGTGCTGAGACAGACTTGTGACTGGAAGGCCAAGGTGTCTACCTGTGATCAACTGGAAAGTGAGTTAAACTTCTCTAACAGTTGCCAAATGTTCATTGAAAAAAAAAAGTAGCAGAAATCTTGGTTTATGAATTTTTGAGTATTTATTCACCTCCAAGACAAAAAAAAAAGCTTTCTGTGTACAGAATCAATTGTGTATTTTCAACCATTTTGATGGGATTTCATACTCCTGTGTTATTTTTTCATTCCAGAACCTAGGAAAATCATGCCTCTGCTGAGTACCACAGAGCCATTGTGCACTTCAGCAACAGACCTGGCTTGTGGCAATGGGGAATGTATTGCCAAAGAGCTATTCTGCAATGGCAGTCCTGACTGCAAGGATGGTTCTGATGAGAATGCCTGTGGTGAGTATACAGAGGGAGCCTCTTGTTCATGCAGGAAACATGTTCCTGAATGAAGCAAAATGCCTGTGTTTTTAGAAATTACTGTATTCCCTCTGGTGGCATGCACACCTTTTTTTCTCAAAATTGAAAGTAAAAATGGGGCAAGTGTCACAGGTTAAAGTTTCCCAAGAAGTTTTAGAATTTCAGGTATGCATTATATTTTATTCCAAGGGAAATTTTGGACCAAGTTCTACAGAAAAAAATTATTGTAATGGGAAATTGGTTGAGTTCAGGTTCAATTCATGTTTAAATTCAAATTTGGGTTTTCCTATTTTTGAAGCACTTCAGTTTTAGAGTAACCAGAAGTATGGCATGCATCTTTCTTGGGGATACCCAAATAAGAAAACCATGGTGCATGTCTTACTTGAGGGCATAGGGTACTTCAAGTATGAACATGGTAATTTGTTTCATTTCACCAGCCCGGACTTCATTCAATACTGTATTTTGTTCAGTTGAAAAATTAGTTCATATTACTGTATTTTTCCTTCCAGAGGTTTAAAAGTGCACAGTAAAGTTCATTTCAGTAAATTCATTTTTGCCGCAAAAATCTCTTCAGCTTATTCTAATGAATAGGGCGTTAACTTTCAACTTGATTGAGGCGACATCTGTGTTCTGCCGACATAAACGTTGATACGCTGGGCTTTGGATTTTGAGTTAGGTGTCGCTTGATGGATTATGGCCCTTTTTTTTCTCCAGCTGTCGATCAGGACCCTAACGCGGCTCCCAAGTGCGACACCTCCCAGTGCATCCTTCCCGACTGTTTCTGCTCTGCGGACGGAACCCAGATCCCGGGTGGCCTGGAACCCTCGCAGGTGCCACAAATGGTGACCATCACCTTCTCCGGCGCCATCAACGTGGACAACATCGACCTCTTCGACGAAGTCTTCAATGGGAACCGCCAGAACCCGAATGGATGCCAGATCAAGGGCACTTTCTAAGAAAAAAATTATTGTAATGGGAAATTGGTTGAGTTCAGGTTCAATTCATGTTTAAATTCAAATTTGGGTTTTCCTATTTTTGAAGCACTTCAGTTTTAGAGTAACCAGAAGTATGGCATGCATCTTGCTTGGGGATACCCAAATGAGGAAACCGTGGTGCATGTCTTACTTGAGGGCATAGGGTACTTCAAGTATGAACACGGTAATTTGTTTCATTTCACCAGCCACTATAATTCAATAGTGTGTTTTGTTCAGTTGAAAAATTTGTTCATATTATTTTTCCTTCCAGAGGTTTAAAAGTGCAATACAGTACAGTTCAGTACTGCTGTGATGTAAAATTAATTGTTTTTGACTTTCTATTGTTCAATTCTTGAGAATGTGCTTTTGGATCACCGAAACTTTTGAATCACAAAAAGAGAGCTTTGACGGTCAGAAAATTGTCCCGTCAGCTATTGATTCATTATTGCTGCGAAAATCTTTGCCGTTGACGATGAAAGACAGGTTGTTAACTTCTAACGTGATTGAGGCGACATCTGTGTTCTGCCGACATAAACGTTGATACGCTGGGCTTTGGATCTTGAGTTAGATGTCGCTTGATGAATAATGGACTTTTTCCCCCAGCTGTCGATCAGGACCCCAACGCAGCACCCAAGTGCGACACCTCTCAGTGCATACTTCCCGACTGTTTCTGCTCTGCGGACGGAACCCAGATCCCGGGTGGCCTGGAACCCTCTCAGGTGCCACAAATGGTGACCATCACCTTCTCCGGCGCCATCAACGTGGACAACATCGACCTCTTCGACGAAGTCTTCAATGGGAACCGCCAGAACCCGAATGGATGCCAGATCAAGGGCACTTTCTTCGTGTCTCACAAGTACACCAACTACTCTGCCGTGCAAGAGCTGCATCGCAAGGGTCACGAAATGGCCGTGTTTTCCGTGACGAATGACGGGGATGAGAATTACTGGACTGGCGGGTCGTACGAGGACTGGCTCGCTGAGATGGCTGGTGCCCGACTCATCATAGAGCGCTTTGCCAACATCACAGATAACTCCATCATTGGTGCGTTTCTCTCGATTCGCGTAGATGCGATTTTTTTTTATGCAGTGGAATTTCGTTGCGACGAATCTCTTCATAACCGAATATTCGTCGCTCACGAAAAATTTTACTTTTTGGGTCTATGCCCCAAAAATTGCAATTTCATTTTAATTTCGATTTAACGAAGATTTGTTAATAACGAAGCGTGCTTTCAGGTCTCCAACGGTTCGTTGTAACGAGGTTATACTGTAGGAATAAGTTGTGTTGGAGTCCGCAATGTTTTTCTCAAATTTCATTATTTTGAGTTCATTTTTTTAGGGTACTTTCCTGTTATCTCTGTACCTCACTCCTAGACCACACTACCATCCAGAAAAATCCTTAGGATGAGTTCATATTCACAACAACCTACCAGAAACTGGGGATTTTATTTTTCCGCCTTCTGCTGAAACTGATTTTGGAGGCAATTAGGTAAAGTTAGGTTAGGTCAGGTTATGTTAGTTACAAATATCTTTTAACTAACATAACCTGACCTAACCGCCTCCCAAAATCAGTTTCAGCAGAAACCCAAAGAAAAAGAAAGCAGAAACTGATTTTGGGAGGCGGTTAGGTGAAGTTAGATTAGGTCAGGTTAAATTGGTCAGAGGGAAGGTACAGAGATAACAGGAAAGTAGGTACTGAGATAATAGGGAAGTACCCATTTGAGTTTCTCATCAGAAATTTTTGAAATTGAATACACTGTAACCTGTTTGAGTCTGACTTCGAGAGAGCAGGAAGAACTCGATTTAAGGAGGTTTTGAGTTGAGGCAATTTTTTTTATGAGGGAAAGAAGGAATAATTCTAGGAAATTGTAATTTTTGATATTCTGGGTCATGAATGATTTGAAAGGATGATGAGGCAAGGGTTCATTTGCCCAATTAGCCTTTCAAAGCACACCAAGTTACTTTTGTATTGCTTTTCTCTTTCTTGTATCAATAAAGTAATAGCCAGAAAATTCGAGTTATGGAGGTAAATGATTTTTATTACTTCCAAGGGAATTGACAAAAATTCGACATGGAGAGGTACTATTGTATCTCTTGGCAAGATGAGATTAAATTGTGCTGTAAAATTGAATATTTTTCTTCCTTCTGCAGCCATTTTCAACAAATTATTTTGCGTTTATTTTTCTTGCAGGTGTACGAGCACCATACCTGAGGATCGGAGGAAACACGCAATTCGAGATGATGGCTGACCAGTTGTTTGTCTACGATGCCACCATCACGGCGCCTTTGAGCCGTGTCCCGATCTGGCCCTACACTTTGTACTTCCGCATGCCGCATAAATGTGCCGGCAATGCCAACAATTGTCCTTCCAGGAGCCACCCCGTGTGGGAAATGGTAAATTGACTGATGATTACTATGAAGTATTTGTTCGATGATTGGTATTTACTCAAGTACCGCGCGTACCTTTTTTTCTTTTTTTTTTAATCGTGTGATATGCAGGTGTACAAATTTATAAAAATTTCAAGTCTTCGGTGCATCTCATACTCTATTCCAACAGAGAATTTTGAATCGATTTCAATAGACAAGTTAGCAATTGGAAATGATGAAAATTTAAAATTCAATTGGACTACAATTATGCTCAAAATTTAAAATCTGATGCATTTGGTGTTCAAATCATTTTAATCTGAAGTCTCTAAACGTGGGGTGGGTTTCTTACTTGGGAAGATATCTTTGTCCGCATTTTTGGCTGAAAAACTTGGATGTGCATCGTGATCTAGTAAAATTCAGTGTAAATAAAGATGATTAAATTCATCATTATTTCAGGAATTAAAGTCTCTAGGCAAAGTCTCAAGATGTGGACATGATCTTTTCTCAAACTATGTTGATTTATAATATTTTTGAATAATTTCCAAATGTCAGATCACATTTTCCCATTGACTTTTATGGAATAATTTTCAATTTCTTCTTGTATTTGGCAAAATAAAATTTGGGAAAAGTCCTCCAAAGAAACAATAAAATGTTTCTCATCTTCAAGAGTAGAAAAAAAAAATTACAGAAGAAAATCACACAGAATGTGCCCTTTTTGGCATGATGATTAGTCCAAACAACAACAAGCACATCTGTCATCATACTTGCAAAAGTTTTAGGCAAAAACCTTGAAAATGAAAGCGCAAAATCAGGGAAAAATAATTACTGTACGGTGAAATGAATTTGTAACAAGATTATTTTTGATTTTATATTTGTGGCAGTAGATCAATTTTTTCAAGAGATAACAGCAACCTCTAAAATCATTATTTGAAAAATTGGCAGAAGTGTCCATATATTAGCCAGATGTTTGAACAGGTTTCTGCAGATTGAAGTATCCATAAAATTGAATTTATTCTTCCAATGTATGTTTTATATTTTATATTGTAGGTCATGAATGAGTTGGACAGGAGAGATGACCCAACTTTTGATGAGAAACTGCCTGGCTGTCACTTCGTGGACTCCTGCACAAACATTCAGAGTGCTGATCAGTTTGGTCGCCTCCTGCGCCACAACCTCAACAGACATCTCAAGTAAGTCCAGATCATGAAACTTTGTTTTTTTGTGTGTCAAGATTTGAGTGTACAGTACTTCAGGAGGCATAGTACAATATTTGAGACAAAGAGAGAGAGAGCAATTCATTGGATGGATTTGAATTCTGAAAAATGTTTGCTAAATCACTGAACTGGGACATTTTTCAAGTAATTTTTGTCATTTTGTGGAAGTTATCAAATGGTTCAGAGCTAAAATATTTCTGATACCCTCCAAATTGAATGAGGAAAATATATTCTTAGACTTTAAAGCCTTGATTTCAAGATGCTGTATTAAAGCCTGTGTATAAATTTTCTTATACTGTAGATAGTTTGGTAAGTAGAAATAAGCTCAATCTAGAAAATTGCCAGGAAAAGTTTAGGAACAGCAACAGTTGGATAATTTAAAAATTATTAGTGGAAAGTTCAAGAAATGATGGTCTGAGGAAAATAATAGAAGCCTCCCTAATTTAAACCCAACCCAACAACAGAATTGAAATTTGTTTACATATGAAAAAGAGAATAAAACATCACAGGAAAATTCATGAAGGGTTCTTTTTTTATCATCTTGATGATGTTCATAATATTTAATCCTGCACAGAACTGCAGTAAACCCTTTAAATTACTGTCTCATTTTTGCCTCTATTTTATTCCCTTTGTGTTTGCTTGGGAAATATTCATCAGCAGTAAAAATCTAATTTCAACTAAGCCATTTGGACCTGGAAAAAAGCTTTCCATGAAGAAATTCAAATAATTTTACTATGAGTTCAAGGCCTAAAAATAAATTTATTTTTTCTTCAGATTTTAACAATATTGTTCATCTGATTCTATGTTGGTTACATTTAGTTGGCTTTTTCACAAAATGCTCAAGGGTATATTTTTAAGTTATTTATTTTTTTACATTTAGTCATTTTCTGGGTTTGCTTGCGCTCCAAAAAAATGTGAACATGTTTTTTGTTTTGTTTTTTAGCACGAACCGTCGTGGGAACCCTGACGTAAAGGTACGTAGAACCGACTTCGTCTCGTTCCTCAAGTTCTCTCTTGAACCTTTCAAGTAACTACTCTACGACCTGTCCTTACTACAAATGAAACAGTGGTACGAAGTTCTGAGTTCCTTTTTTCTCGCATCACAAAATGGATAATGTGCCACAGAATCCCATCAACATTTACTTAATCTACACAAGGAAAGGACTCTTTTTGAGCTCATGAGGCAGTTTAATTATTTCACAAATGAAGGGTAGGAAAATTTGTGTCTGAATGACCTGAAACAGCAGCAATTTCAGTGGGGCAATAAGTTGGGTGAGATGTTCAAAATGGGGGACAGAGGAATTTTATTGTTTGTCCATTTCCCAGGTGGTCAATAACATGTTGTTGGGGTGTTTCATCAGGTATTGCGCACATGTGTTTACAAATCATAGTAGTTACTTTTCTCAAATTCAATAGACTAAACGAAGTCTAATGTTTTTAACGATACCTCTTATCTTAATTCCCTAGTTCCTTTTGGGAATCTTATTAAAGACGTCGAAAAATTTTAACTTTCTCTGTTCTAATCCTTGTAACAGTTGAACAGTGATGATTAAGTAATAAAAGAAAACCAAGAGGATACAACCTCTGTTAATTATTATTTTTTGAATATTGTACTCTCATTCTAATAGAGAATGATGATAGCTACAAAAGAAATACAGGTGCATTATTAGGATTTCTGAAACATTTTTCAAGTACCATGTGCCCATGAGTAAGATACACACCCCCATTTCCCAGCCTAAAACTATCAGGAAAAATGTTTCTAGTTCAACAAAAAATTGACTAGAGAGGTACAGTATTTAATTTGGGGAGGTTTAAGTTATTGATTTTGAAGTGTACAAGAATTTGGATTGAATTTCCACCTAAAAAGAAATGCTGAAGTTTTTTAAAGGGGTTTTCAACATGATCTGCAGCTGTACCTCATTCCCTCCCAATTTTTTTTTTTTCACTGGAAGTATAGATTATGAGTGAGTGAGCCCCTAAGATGCAGTTGTAACTGGTGCATCAAGAGTGTCCTGATGTCAGAATGTCCCTCAGTTGAGCCTCTTTTTTCCCTTAGACTTCAATGCTAATAGGTTCTCTTTTTTCAAAAATTAGAAATAACTTAAAGTTGAGGGAATCAATTTTTCAAAGACCTAAGTTGTAGAAAACAACAGTGCAGAACAACTACATAGAATCTGATCTTTTGGTATCAAAAAGGAGATAAAAAAGCAAAGAAAAAGAATAAGTCTTGCTAGAATATCCACAGATAATAGAAAAAAACTCTGAAAAAAGAAGCACAAAATCAGCTAGCCTTTTATTATGAATTGAGAGTGAATTTGCTTGAAATTATTTTTAATTTTTGTGAACATGAATAGCTTAATTTCTTTGAAAGATATCAAAATTAGAGAAGAATAATGGAAAATTTCAGAAAAGTGTCCCTAAGTCAAATTGTCTGTGTGTTGGGGTCTCACTGTACTTGATTGAGCAGGGTGTATATTGTACAGTAGTATAGTATCATGCATGACTGGGCTGGCAACATCTGAATGACCTGGAATTACAGCAATTGCATAAAGGGGGGGGGGGTGAAGAAGAACATTCAGAAAGAAAAAATAAATGGTAGTTACAGTACAGTACTTTTATGGATTGGGGGCTGTGTTCCAGGTCATTCAATGGATGCAAAATCCCACAGAGCTGACTGGGCTCAGGGACTTCCAAGAGTGGAAGGACAAGTGTGAAGTGAAGGGGAACCCGTATTGCTCCTTGCCCAATACGTGTGCCTCCACGACTCGCGAGCTGCCTGGGGAAACCCTGCGGCTCTTCACCTGCATGGACTGCCCCAACAACTACCCCTGGATCCTTGATCCCACTGGGGATGGGCTCAGGACTAGGAAATGATTGATTGATTGATTCATTCATTCAATCAATGATTCCCTCCTCATTTTGTTTTGCTTGTTCCCTCATCAGGTGTGACTTTCTTTCCTTTTTAACCCTGCTGTGGATACATTTCCCAGGTGGAACAACTGTAGTGATCTAATTGAAGGTTAATTTCTGAAGATTTCCTAAAAGTAAAATTGGAATAATACTGTACATAGAATATATTCTAATGATATGCTGTATAATTAGAAGTATTGCATATGAAAGTTTTGAAACGTTCAATTTCAAATGCAGCCTTCAAGCACCTACATTTAAACATTGTAAATATTTAAGAAGTGACTCACATTCAGGTGCTCTTAGAAACCAAGGTATAAAAATGAAAGCGAATTTTGTAAATGTTTCAACTGAAAACTTTTGAAGATAATAAGATACAGGAATTTCAAGCGAATTTTTTTAGTAGTCACATCAGCTTATCTACAACAAACTCATCTTTGAAATGATCATTATTTTGCAGTTTAAAAATTTCACAAACTTGGCTTACAAGGGTTTAGCAAAAGTTTTTGGCATATGTTTTAGCTTTAAAAATTGTATTCGTAAAAAACGTCAGCCCTGTTTGAAATATTCTGCAGAAGTACTGCATTTTGCAAACATTGTCTTAGCAGTGCTCTGCTTTTTATTCAAAACATGCAGATTTTTAAGGTGGGCGGGGAACAGTGAGTCAAACAAATAGTGCCGGATGTTGGACGCCATATTTATGGCTGGCGCCAAATTGTGCCAAACCATGGGTCTACCATCCTTTCAAATTTGGGTTAGAGGGTAATACTGAAGAAATACTAATGAATAAATTTTCAATTGTACATTATTTCTGATTTTTACACACAATAATGTGTGAAGGGATGGGAAATGCGTATGATGTAATTTTGATAAAATAGTGACCATTTATTGCAAGGGACAGAAAGATAAAGTTCAGTATTGCCGTTTAATTTGATGGAGAAGGATGGTGGACTCTGGTTAGGCACAAATTTGGCACAGTCCGACATTCGGCTCTATTTGTTTGGCTCACTGGAATGAAAATTGCTTCTTGTACTTTTTCTGCCATTTTAATTTCTATTTTGTCTATTAACAAAAATAACATCACTATATCTTTTTTTTCCATCATTAGGTGATTCAATGGATGCAGAACCCAACAGAATTGGCGGGTTTGAGGGAATTTGAAGAATGGAAGGACAAATGTACTGTGCAAGGGAACCCATTCTGCTCCCTGCCCAACTCTTGTCCAGTTACAACCAGGGAGTTGCCCGGAGAAACCCTGCGACTCTTCACCTGCATGGATTGTCCCAACAACTATCCGTGGATTTTGGATCCAACTGGGGACAATCTCAACCTTTAAAAACCCGTACCATAACATCTCGTTGTCTTTCACCTGCTACGACAAGAAAAATGGCTGATGCATGACTTTTTAATTTTTGTGTGTATTTTCATGAGACGCTAAGTGAAGTGTTCATCCAATTGCAACCTGTTGACATTTTGGAACAGAATAATTACCAATGAAAAATTATCGGGATGGATTTCAAATTTCAAATATGCATCAAAGAATATTTTAATTTCGACATAAGCAGAATTTGAAATGACATTGATGGTGAACCACCATCAATATTTATTTTTGTTTCTATTTTTGTGCATTCTCCTGCTATTGTTTCGTTTCTTTTGGATAATGCAGTGAGTGATGTTTATGTACGTTCGAAATTTGCCAGTGATTTGAAAAGGTACGGTATGTATATGATGAGGATTATTGGTTGGAAGAATTTAATTTGTTATTTTGACTTAACAATATTTCTTCACAGATAATCCGCAAGGATATTACTAGTTTAAATCTTACGATTCTCACATCGTAGCTTCGAAAGAAATAATTATTTCAAGTACGATTGATACTTCTTTCAATGCTACGAAGTAAGAGTCTGAAGATTAAATCTACTGATATTCTTGTGGATTATATTAGTCCTATAAAAAAATCGAAAATATGATGAAAGCGGAATTAGTTCTTCCATCAAGATAATTTGTTGGAAGAACTAATTCCGCTTTCATCATATTTTCGATTTTTTTACAAATTATCTTGATCAAATTCTCTTTGACCGCAATAATGAACAAATTGATCCCAACGTACCCACAAATAAAATTCAACACCAAAGTAAGAGAAAAAACATTGCCTTCATAACCCAGAACACATAGTACCACATATAAAGACGACGACAAGAAAAACTTGACTAACCATCACTCGAAAGAAAGTGATTCCGCTTCCAGTACCTCGACTCGTCTGCCGAACACCTCCTGGAAGGCTGTTGCAATCAAAGGCACACAAGTTTCCACTGTAAACGGCTTGCCCAATTCAACGCTCAACGACGTCACGCCGGCCAACGGGTCAGTGATGCCACAGGGCACGATGTGGGAGTACCAACTCAGGTCGGTGTTGCAATTCAACGCCAGTCCGTGGCTCGTGACCCCGTTTCGGACACGAATACCTGGCACGAGAAATCGACAGAAACACCGTTAATGTTTCTTTTTTTATTTTCAAGATTCTAGTTCTTGAGAAATTCCGAACTAACAGTGCACAATTTTGAATTCACGTTTCAACCTCAAAAATAAAATCGAGTCAGGGGAATAACCATTTTCGTTGGGAAAACAAAGAAGAATCACAGCAACTTTTTATTGGCGACATTCCGGGCCTTGAATTACCGGTACTTTCTAAATTAGTTTACAAGGCGAGGAGGCAAGGGCTCATTTGCCAAATTACTCTTTCCCTTCCTCTCGAAACACACCGTGAATTTTTTTTTCCGGCTTTTCTCTTCCCTGCGCCAATACGATAAAAACCAGAAGAAGGCCTTCAGAAAATTCGCATCACCAGACTCGCAAAACACAACCAAGACGTTGCACACTTACGAATGGATATCATACAAATTTTTCGAAAAAAAAAGAGGTGATACCACGATACTGTACCAATAAAATAAACCACGAAAGGATTACGAAGATCGGATTCAGGGACGATGCTCACCTACAGCGCAGACCTTCTTATTCCCGATCCAGACACCAGGATTCAACGACGATCTTCCAGCCACGAGATTCAAGTTCGAACACAAATCGATCACGGCATTCTCCAGTTGACTAACATACCACTTGACTGGAGAACCAGTTCGACCAAAGTTTCTCAAATTCAACACTGGATACACCACTAATTGACCAGGACCGTGGAACGTGATCAAACCTCCGCGATCCGTCCGCACGAAATCAGCCCCCAATCGTTTCAGTCGTTCTTCGTCAGCCTCAGAATAAGATTTATCACGGATTCCAACGGTGTAAACTGAAACCGAGAATTCACCCATCGATCCATCAAACTTCGGACACACAATATCAGGAACACATCGAAAGCGCCGAAATTTCTAAACCTTCCGTTTTCTCAGGAATACCGGTATTGCATCATTCTGGACGAGATTCTGAACAAACGCTTACACGGTATCTTCCGAAACAACTGATTGATCAGTACTGTAGTTGATCAATCAATTACTCATGTTCAGAAAGCGGTAAGATCTAGCGTGCTGAGATAACTTCGGGAGGGCAAGGAATCTGGAGCCTTCGACCCAACTGAATCTTCCGGAACAACGGATCACCGATCGATCATTAATTATTATCTCCAGCGAAGCACAATTATGTGTCAAGAGAACTTTCAAGACGTCAAAGGCATTGCAGGATTTCAAAGAAACTAGCAAATTGCAAATGCACAAGACGGCTCTCAACTCACCGGGTTCGTGCTCACAAACAAGCAAGCAGTCCCGATCACCGTAGGTCTTTTGTCTAGCCACAGCCTTCGCCATCAGCTCCATGCCCTTAGAATACCGCAAGCGGCCCAACAAAACCATGGGTAACACATTCTTCGATCCCATCAGCACCATCGACCCCGGTTTCACTTCTACTTTGATTCTGGTCTATCGGTCGCACGCACTGTTCGTACGCTTTGCACAAACTCGTCAGTCATGAGCTTGATCTTCTTCTCGGCCTTTCGGAGCAGGTGCTCGATGTGCATGACATCCTGCTTGGCAACAGCAGCCGCGTTTCGGCGAAATTCGGACCTAACGTTCTCGTAGAACCCGGGTTTGTTTTTAGCTGCCCGCAGCGAGCGTTTGTACACAGATAACACTTGTCGCTGAAGACCACTCCTCATTCTCGCATCCTGATTAAGAGAGGAACAAAGCGATGCCACGTCAATTCAGTCATCTTCCGATAAACTGCACACTCGAAAATAGAACCGAATTTCAATTTCCCTCGCGGGAGAAGTTTTCCGAAAGAATGCCAAGTTCTATCCGCAAATCTTACAGGGAGTATCAATACAATTCTGGTGGATTAATTGGACAAACATCTGAATTACAGATACTCTACAAGATAATAATCTAATACTCTCTGGTCCTATCATAACCTTAAAGTTATCATCACACCACGAAGTTTGAAACAAGAAAATTTCATCAGATGCCCACAACAAAACAAATCTATGGTAATCACTCATGTAAACCTTATTAATGAAGAAATAGGTTTCAGAGATAAATAGTTAAAATTGAGATTTAGACACAGATAATTTGATTTTAATTCAGCTGCGATAGGGGTTTTACATTTCCATTTATTTTCTAGTACTGTACCTGAAGTATGACTTCTTAAAACTTCTCTGAAGGTGTTTGTAAGTATTTTAGTACTGAACTATACACACTAAAATTTGCAGAAACATTGTACAGCACTTCAGCATGACACGCACCCCCACTTTTACAGACTAATCCTTCAAGAAAAAAAATCATGTGACACTCAAATAAATACAATATTGAAATAGAAATTCTGTGAAAATCGGTAGAAAAGGACTTTCTTTTTTTTTTTTTAGCCTCAACGCATATTTGCCTTCAATGAGAAAAACCCACAGACACAACTATTCTCTCCTTCACTCCTCTTCCCAAGAAACAACCAGCACTAAAGAACAATAAAAAAAACATAGCAAGAGGGAAACAATCAATAAAAGTTTTAGCGCGGTTTCTTGACACCAAAAGACATTCGCGAAGTGTCCCGTCAAGAAAAAACATTGCACGGAAATTGAAAAACCCTTTTGATTCAGAACTACATAGAAAAAAAAACCCAATCCCAGCAAGGATTTCAAAATTTGACAAAACCCTGCCAAGAAAATCGCGAAATGAATTCCGCAACCAGCAGCTAGGAATCACAATGCCGCGGGCACATCGAGAATAAAATTCTCTTCCGTAGTGCACAAATTTTATCAGTTTTAAAATTTTCATCTCAGTGGTGAAAGCGGGTATTTTTCCACCGGGGGGGTCCAGAAGAAAAAAAAGGACAAAAAATTCCGGCGATAGAAAAACGGCGCAGGAAAAAAACGCCACAACCCGAGATTATCGTGTTAAAAATTCGGATCGTCAATTTGTTGGTCATCGCAGGACTACGTCAAGGAAAATTCATTAACAATTTTTGAGAACCAAATTCAAGGCATCGATTCCACTTTTTTTTGTGTGTGTGATTTCAACAACAAAGTCATTTCCTTCAACACATTTGAAACGTATACATAAAAATTTCTGAACTCCATAATTTTAACACTCGAAAATTTCCCTGCAAGGGGATTATTTTCTCCCACGAATAAAAGCGAAACTTCATGATCTTCATCAACAGAAAATATTTTCAACAAAGTCTGCCTTATTTCAGCTTAAAAATTTTCCCCAGCAACGTACTTGTTTTTTTTTTCCTCAAAACAAACATTTTCAGAACCGTCAAATAAATTTTCTGATTGAATTCCAACAAAAAAATGTTTTCCTACTCGTAATACTGAAAATTTTCCTCTACTGGGTTATTTTTATTCCAGCATTTTTCGAATTTCATTAGTCGAATTATTCTTGACACGAAAATGACCACTTCAATAAATAGTTCAAATTCTTTCTTTAAAAAAATAAATGATGAAAAAAATAGTTCGCGTAAGTTTTAAATTTCGGTTTAAAAGCAAAGTTTTCTCCGGCAAATTTATCCATCCTTAATCCGATTCTCGAGGCACGTTTCTTGAGACGATGCACGTAATTTAATCGAGCCTCGAAAATTCCAAATTGCGTCATTCTGCCCTGCGTCGTTTTTCTTCTTTCTCTGCGACTTTTTTTTTTCCACGATGCCGCAAAGATTAGTTCGGGTGTAACTTCTATGTCGAGTTGTACAGTACTTTTATGCCGTCACTCAATTTATCCTGTCTGAACTTCCAACAATAGAAATCTCGAGTCGAATTTGTGTGACTGGTTCTGAAGTTTTTACGTACTGCAGTTTAATTTACGGTATTTACTTGAGTACCACGCGCACCTTTTTTCTCAAATTTCAGAAAAAAAAAAGAAGTGCACGTCATAAGCAGGTACAAATTTTCCAAGAAGTTTTAGGAAGTTATGTGTGCATTATACTCAATTATAATGGAGAAATTTGTAACAAATGTAACAAGAAAACTTTTTTGTACTGAAACAGTTGAAAATTGATCAGATTTTTGTTCAACTCATGTCTAAAGTCAATTTTTTGCTTTTACTTTTGAAATTTTGTGGTTTTAGAAGTCAGTAAAAATTGGGGTGCGCGTCTTACTTGGGGATAAGATTTTAGCAAAATTTCCAACTGAAAAACCCCTGTGCGCGCCTTACTCAAGGGCGCGTGGTACTCAAGTAAATATGGTACTTTTGGATACTTGAAGCTGCCACATTGTAACATTTTATTCATTCTATTTCTATAACTAAACCACATTCTTCCAGTTGTCAGTCACGAAAAAGAAACAATTAATTTCAAGGTAGAATAATTTTAAAATAAATATACACAATGAAATGTAGCATTGACGTTCTACTTGACTCAACAACTACCTAATCAATCATTTTACTCTCCCTCAAATTAGGTGAAGATAGATAATATAAAATACTATGATGTTGAACCTCTTTTTTCTTTCATTTGTTCTCATCTAATTAAAAAAAACGAAATGATCGATTAATTTGGGAAGGAAGGAATAAAAAATTCGTAGTTGCATTTTTAAATAAAATTAGGTGAAGATGATTTTAGACCAAATAAATTGAAATACAACAAGAAAGTTTTGATTCATTCCACTTCAAACTAATCGATCATTTGATTCTTACTAGTATTACATGAACATAGAATGAAAGACGTTGAACCTAATTTCATTCGAAAGACATCAAACATTCTATTAAAAAATTAAATTGGGTGAGGATAATTTCATACCAGATAAAATGAAATACTGTACAACGACTTTGTATTTCATTCAACTTTAACTTATCTGATTTTTAGTCACATTAGGGTGAGCATAAAAAAATGACGTTGAACCTAATTTTAATTGGAACCACATGAATCGTTTTATTCATATTGGTACTTGGATTAGGCAAGAATTATTCGGAAAATAAATCAAACAATGACGCTTTACAGTACTTCATTGAACGTTAATCTAATCAATTATTGTATTTTAATACTATTAAAATTATTACAGTTCCTCAGCGGAACTCAAGACTCTAGTTAACGTTCAACTTGATGCCTTACACGCGTCATTTTCTCCTGCGCCAATTTCCTCCCGACTCCAGAAACAAAGAAACGGAACAAAGAATTTTGCTCAGTCCACGTGAATCAAGAGGATTTCTTGCCGAGGCGGTCCTTGATCGATTTCCTCTCCCCGCCAGAATCGCCAGCAATGGAAGAACTGAACACTATTCGCGGCTTGCTCGGTTTCGCCTTCCTCTCATCGTCGTCTTCGTTGTCTAAGAGGGGAAAATATGCAGAGTTGATTGGGTGAGATAAAATCAAGTCGGCGTCAATCAAAAAAAAAAAAAGAGAGAGAGAGAAACAAAATGCAGGCACTAGATAAAAATCTTTCACTTTGGCGAGTTTTTTTTTTTTCAAATCGAGAAAAACTTACCCGAAATGGTCGACTTTCGCATCTTGAGCGATTTAGAACTGAGTCGCACCTTCGACTTGAAAAGATTCTCCGTTTCCTGCGACAGTCTGGGTTTCTTCCCGGGGGCTGAAAAAAAAAAAATAAATAAACACATGAAAACGTGCCATAAATATTCAGTTCCGTCATGAAATTTGCAAATATTTCCCCTGAATTTGTACCTCGTTATGATTCAACTTTTAAAAAATTTCGACGCCAGATTTAATTCCCCAGTAAATTTTCCATCACTCGATCATTTTTCAACGCGGCGTTTTCTCCCGCGTGAATATAATCTCCTTATTTTTTTTTCCTTCGATGACGTGAACATGAATCATAGCAAAAAATATTCCGCTTGAAATAATCAATTGACGGCGATGGGATACATATCATAAGTTTGTCTCCCACAACAGATCATCAAGTGAACGAAAGCCTTTACATATTCACGACTTTCTAGACCAGAAAAAAAAAAACTCTACACAAGTTTTTCTACCTCGTCAAATGCAACATTTTCACGTTTCAGAAATTTTCAATTTGACGAAAAAGAATTCGAATGCGAACATGATGAATACCGACCTAACGCAGGTCAAGTTGAATAGACGACCATGAAAATATAAACTGAAATAGTGAATATTGCGATTGAAATTTTATTTAAACACCAGTTTCTGATTTTGACAACAATCGGAAATTGAAAATCCCCAGAACTCACGTTGTTCAGAAGCCGTTTCATCTTTGGTTGTAAAAGACAACCGCGACATCTGGAGACTGGTTCGGACAGGTTTCACGTCCACAGCGGATTTCACGGGATCGGAAATTCGTCTCAGGGGCACAACTTTCGCTTTCGCCACGGTTGAATTTCCAGTCGAGTTTTTCGGTTCTGAAAATTTCAAATCAATTCAGGTTTAAAATAAACACTGCGACAACTTCAAACCCTTAGACCAAATGTTGACAGAAAATTATATTTGTAAAAAAAAAAGTAACGAGAACTCAATTTAAAAAAAAAAGGAAATGCACCAATAATACAGTTGAATAACTCGAACCTACATACGTAAAATAATTCTCAAGTTTCTGTCTGAAATCACTCAGAAACAACGCATTAAAAAATATTTCTAATTCTAAGGCTTTACCTCTGACACAGGAAAGAGAAAAACCACAAACATGTCACTCGATGGGCTTTGAAAGGAATTGAAAGAATAATTGGACAAATGAAACCTTGCCACAAAATTCAGCATCCTGTCAACTCACTCAAAAAGCAATTCAACACCCAGATAATCACCAATTACAAATTTTCTGCAGTTCTTTTTCTTTTCCCCGAAAAAAAAAACTGCTTTTCCCAAACTCAAAACTTCTCTAAATCGATTTCTTTTCCCTGCCGGTCAAACATTTCACACTGAGGCTACGAGATGTCGCACGAACCTTCAGCCAATTGTCGCTCCAAGTACGTCTTGATTTTCTCAAAAATACGCCTGCCAATAGTCTTCTGGTAGTCATTCTTCCAATGCCCGAATTCGTCCGCAATGTCCGACGACTTGCAGTCACTGCTCAGGTCCTCAAACGTCAGCCACGGTGGGAACGGATACTGTTTAATAAAGTCCCTGCACGCGTCCATAGACGACTTCTTCTCGTGCCCGTCTTGAAGAGCTCCGATACTCAGCCAGTAAATGTGGTCCGCCGTCGAAAACGTCCGCAATTTCCGGAAGAAATGCACGAAATCGTCAGCGTTTTCCGGAAAGAAATGCACCCGAGAGTTCCGCAAATCGTTCACGCCAATGATGACGAACCTGTCGGTCAGAATACAAGGCAATTTGTAACCACGAAGATCGAGAATTAAAATACTCCGAAGGACCCACGAAAAAAAAAAATTCACACGGGATTCGGTACTTCCCTGTTATCTCAGTACCTACTTTTCTGTTATCTCTGTACCTTCCCTCTGACCAATTTAACCTGACCTAACTTAACTTCACCTAACCGCCTCACAGAATCAGTTTCTGCTTTCTTAGATATTTGTAACTAACATAACCTGACCTAACCTAACTTTACCCAACTGCCTCCCAAAATCAGTTTCAGCAGAATGCGGAAAAATAAAATTTACAGTCTCTGGTAGGTCGTCATGATGATGAACTCGTCCTAAAGATTTGTCTGGATGGTAGTGCGGTCTAGGAATGAGGAACTGAGATAACAGGAAAGTACCGAAAATTCTACTGCAATGAAAAAAAAGTGCATTTGAGAGAAAGTCGCTAAAAGGACTTGAAGAAAAAAAACACACCAGATTTTCGGACGATCGGCGGCATCCGGGAATTCCTCCTCGAGCATTTCAAAGGCAGTGTGACGATCCATATCACCAGATCGGTGGTAGGCTTTGAGACCCGTGTAGGACACTTGCACCACGTGGGACTTGTTTTGCAATTCGCCGTATTCCGGCAACAGGTCCAGCAAGGGCCTGTTTTCCCGGCCGGGTTTCACTCGGAACACGTGGCCCACCTTGGTTCGCGACAGAAGACTGTCCGTGAGGATCCCGATCTTCACAAGGCCGCTCCTCTCCGCTATGAATGCAATCATCAAGCTTTGTTTTTAAAATTCAGATCACTTCATCGATTCACAAGGGATTCATTTGTGGAGAGAAATCACTGAGAAAAACCCAGTAAAGGTTTTCTCTCCTTCAGCAAGGAAATCGGGCAGAAATTCTGGTGCGAAATATTTTTGCCACAAACTATGCAGTTGACAAATTCATTTTGCTCATGTATGAGCCAATATGACGGGAAAAACTCGGGATTCGAAGAAATTTATCTCTGGTTCTGCATCAAATACAATGAACTTGGTATGATTTCAGCTCATGGATGGAACAGAACAGTACATAGTCTTGTCTCACAAATGGTACCCACAGAGAATTACTAAGAGAATCCTTCGGTACCAACAACTAAAACTCACGTGAAGTGCCATGAAGGCGTTGTGTTACTAGTTCGCTTTCGAAGTCTTGTTGAGTGAAAAGTGCTGTGCTAAGTTTTATCTTCCAAACTGCAGAAGAAGCCTTAGTTCTCTAGCGAAGGACAAGTGAGTGAAATCCAAAGAGTTTTTAGGTTGCAGCAATCGTCCTCGCAATTCAGACAAGGAATCGTCCGAGGAACCAGGACTGGATTCCATTTTGAACCGAATCGAGTTGTACGTCGCCACCACGGGACCTTCTTTGGTTTTCGGCACAGGAGCCTTCGGGGCAACAACTGGATTCCGCTTCGCATCGTCGAGCTGAGAAAAAACAGAACAGGGTTTTCAAAAGCACAATGGAAAAAAAGTCAGGTTTAGTGGCACTCATTTCATAACGAGCCCCCGAGTTCCACTTAATAATGGCGTCGTGTCCCTAACAATGAACCGAGTCGAAGCGGTTCTTGATCTAAGCAAAGGATATGAATTATACTCCGTTCCTGAAGAAATAATGACTACGGACGCACATGAAACACAAAATTGAGCGAAGAACGAGATATCTCGGCGGATCCAACGATTTATCTTCAACGCACAGTAACTCTGAGATTCAGGGCTTTCAAATTTCGCTTATACAAGCAACTTCAGCCAAATCGCTTCGACTTTGCATCAGCTTTACCGATTACCTACGCCAAGAATGCGTTACGAGATGCCCCCGCGATCACTAAAGCAACCGAATCCAGCGACCATTTCCTCACCTTCTATACTTCCTCGGAGGATATCATAATCACAACAGTGTATCAAAGCAATGAATCAAAACTTTGGGCCTTGAATGTAAGTTAGTTCAGTGGCAATCGAATTCAAGAGCACTACGAAGGCGACTGGGTTCAAAAAGGGAAGAACAGCCGTCAACAGGAACGGAGACGAAAACCTCCGTTTCAAGTTCGCGATTTCAGACGAAAAAAACCGTACCTCTTTAATGATTTCACTTGCGACTCGTTGAATAGCAAGTCCATCGCCGATAGCGGAGACCCCCAATGCCAGGAATTGTTGATGTGTGAGAGCATGGACGTCACATAACCGGATCTTGTGTTCAACAAAATTCCTCGCGTACTCCTTTACGAGGGGTTTGTCGACATCTGCTCTTTGCAGCAACTCCGCCCAACATTCTGAGGAAAAATCGATAAATGAACAGGAGACCATCTTAAGGATGCTTGATCGACTCACCCCCCGAATTACGGTACATCGAATGAGTTGGAGTCATTTTCGCGAAACCAGCCTCAAACAAAGCATCACTGATCGCACAAACACCGCTCAGTCAAACAAGCAATCAGAAAGCAAATCGAATAGGAGAGGAAATAAAATCCTGTGTGAGAAAACGATCGTCCGAACAATTACACACATTCCATGAATTCAAAATCTCGGAAATCCATGCTTACTGAACGGTTGACTAGGAAATTCACCAATGAGAAAACAGAAAATGAAAATATGACACCATGAAATGACGTTGGCAGAAGAATTTCAATGACACAACCCGCCAACTGGAGAAAGTTCGGAGCTATCCCACTTCGAGGGAGCCAGACTACCAGCTCCATCTTCAAACAACAGTGGATACTGCTTTCTGCAGGCATTACCTATGATACTATGACATATGTATTGTACTGTACAACCTTCTGAAAAGATGACTTTGGGGGACACTCCCACCATTCAACAACCCTGTTTTTCTGATGTTGGGGTATGCTAAGGTCCAACTCCCACAGTATATAGCAGTGATGAGCATGCATCATCACATGCTGGTTTACCAATATATCCTTCAAATATATTTGGACGTATTCCACATTTTGAAGTCACTCAGCACTTTACACTTGATAGAAATGCTTGGATTAGAGTACCTCAAGAAAACTGCTGATGATGCAAATTTTTGATCATTTTTACTTTAAAAAATGAAAAAGAAATGCAAGGTCACCAGAAAACTCTCAATCCACACTTCTTACAATAAAAAATTAATCTATACAGTAGACTTGCCATCTCAAATAAGTTACTGAATATTAGAAATACAGTAATATCTTGACACAAAAAAACATTGAAGTGCTTTGTTAAAACAAATATTCTATACTTGAATAAAACAGTAGTTACAGTGCAAGAGTCTTGAAAATATTTTGTCAGCAATCGTTTTTTAACTGCATCAAGATCTTACTGCATTTAAAAATTTGGAGTCTCTCAATATATTTGGATTCCATTACAATATCCTCATTTGAAGGATATATTGGTAAACCAGCATGTGATGATGCATGCTCATTAACAGTGCCTTTTTCATACATGCAATTGTGTTTTAGACTTTCTTTAACATTAAAAGCTGGGGCCATAGAAAATGTGGTCAGAAGTGATAGCACTCACATTTAAAATCAATCAAACTATTCAAAAAGACATCTTTTGAATTAACTCATTATTTTGATCAAAATAAAAACTTTATTTAGGACAGTAGTCTAGAACTTAGTCTTCCTTTTACTTTTATAAACATAATCTTATGACACTGTTCGTAGTTCTTTATATTTGTAGTGTTAGGGTTCCCTTGTACTTTAACCCAACTTTACATTTTTTACTTGTAACCACTGATATCATTGAATTTTATTGCATAATAAAAACTGATCCCATATTCAAAGTAAATGTATATATACTTTTTTCCTTTGAAACAAGCTATTTGAAGTAGTGTACCCAAAACATAATTGATATTCATCAGTTATGCATAAAAAAAACTGTAATCCAGAGCATTCATTGTGGTATACTTCATTGCATACTTCAATTGGATTTGTAAAGCAAGAAAATGAAATAATGCAAGGGAAAATAAGTGTTCATTATATTTTTCTAAACCTGCAATTTTCTGTTTCCCCACAGAGTTTCTGATCCACATTTCAAACCCAAAACTGCAGTGGAAGATTTCCCAAGAATTTGGAAATATAAATTTCTGTCCTGAATTTTCAGGTGACAGTAACCAATCTACCCCTTACATGCAAAGTTTTTTATAAGACCACACAATTTAATTTGCAAACACAAAAACAGTTCTCTTAATAAACTGTAGCAGTACCATTTAGATTCATACACTATATCTTGGCTGCCATATTTCCCCCCAATATCACCACCAATGCTGAAATGATTTCCCAGCTGCTACTTTCACCCCCAAATTTTACACAAGCACTACTCCATCCAAAAGATTTATATTTTAGCACCCTTCATATGAGAATAATTAATAGAGTTAATAATTTTTTCCAAGTTTTTCAAAATGTTTTCAAAAAACACAAGCATTCAAAAACCACTATGAGATAATGTTGTAGAACTAAAAATTAACGCAAGTCAAGAAAAAAAATCTTACATTACAATTTTTTATTATCAAAATTCCAGAAAATCCACACTTACAAGTAATAAAAAAGATGATTTTTCAATACTGTACCACAGAAGCTAAGTTCTAAAAATTACAGTAGTGATTATAAAAATCCGCATGAGGGGATTTTAAAAATTCCTGTGAAGCTAGCTCTAAAAATTCCAATAAAGCTAATTTTTGAAAATTAGAATGCATAATAATTTTCAAATTTAAAATATAAGCTAATTTCTGAAAATACCAGCAGATATACTTTCACTAAATGTCCAACAAAATTCTTAAAACACTGAACCTGGGAGTGAAATTAAACCTTGTTATTCAATTTCTGGAGTATACCACAGTTGTATATAAAGGAATTGAAAATTCAGTCAACACATCATTCAGAAGTTTCAAACAATGAACTTTTTCAAAAATTCCAAAAATCCTCCTCCACAAAAACTAGAGAAACGTAAACGGTTAAAAATATAACAAAAGAATAAAAGCAAAGATCCACAAAATAACCCATTCCTCATATATCAAGCAGCCAGCCTGGCTTCAGCCTTGTCCTGAAACACATCACTCCTAGCCCTGAGCTCCTGTTCCAACCCATACCCTTCAATAGCCTCAGCAGACCCAAAGGGCATGGCAAAGAACCCCTTGGCATACTTGGTCAAAGAGCCCAGTCTCATGTTTCCAGGTTCCCCAGCACCAGAGCAACCCTCACCAGAGAACTTCCACAAGTCAGGCTCTTGCATGTAGCTCTCAATCTGTTTCAAGCTGGCATCAAATTCCATAGATGACTTGAACAACTCAAACCTGAAGTCCTGTGCATGTCTGGCTTTCTTCACCTATAAACACCAAATAAATTTGACAAGGGGATATGAGACTTGGATGAGGGATTTNTCATCAGATCTTGAATCAGAAGGAAAATGAAAATATTTGTATTAGAATACTGTGACAAGCATCAAGAAATATAAACATCACAATCCCAAGGGAACATGAAATTGGGTTGAAATGTAAAAAATGAACACACCACTGATAATATCATTGAATTTTATTGCATAATAAAAACTGATCCCATATTCAAAGTAAATGTATATATACTTTTTTTCCTTTGAAACAAGCTATTTGAAGTAGTGTACCCTAAACATAATTGATATTCATCAGTTATGCATAAAAAAAACTGTAATCCAGAGCATTCATTGTGGTATACTTCATTGCATACTTCATTTGGATTTGTAAAGCAAGAAAATGAAATAATGCAAGGGAAAATAAGTTTTCATTATATTTTTCTAAACCTGCAATTTTCTGTTTCCCCACAGTGTTTCTGATCCACATTTCAAACCCAAAACTGCAGTGGAAGATTTCTGAAGAATTTGGAAATATAAATTTCTGTCCTGAATTTTCAGGTGACAGTAACCAATCTACCCCTTACATGCTAAGTTTTTTATAAGACCACACAATTTAATTTGCAAACACAAAAACAGTTCTCTTAATATACTGCAGCAGTACCATTTAGATTCATACACTATCTTGGCTGCCATATTTCCCCCCAATACCACCACCAATGCTGAAATGATTTCCCAGCTGCTAATTTCACCCCCTAATTCTACAAAAGCACTACTCCATCCAAAAGATTTATATTTTAGCCCCCTTCATATGAGAAGAATAATTAATAGAGTTAATAATTTTTTACTAAGTTTTTCAAAATGTTTTCAAAAAACACAAGCATTCAAAAACTGCTATGGGATAATGTTGTAGAACAAAAAATTAACGCAAGTCAAGAAAAAAATCTTACATTACAATGTTAATTATCAAAATTCCAGAAAATCCACACTTACAAGTAATAAAAAAGATGATTTTTCAATACTGTACCACAGAAGCTAAGTTCTAAAAATTACAGTAGTGGTTATAAAAATCCGCATGAGGGGATTTTAAAAATTCCTGTGAAGCTAGCTCTAAAAATTCCAATAAAGCTAATTTTTGAAAATTAGAATGAATAATAATTTTAAAATTTAAAATAGAAGCTAATTTCTGAAAATACCAGCAGATATACTTTCACTAAATGTCCAACAAAATTCTTAAAACACTGAACCTGGGAGTGAAATTAAACCTTGTTATTTAATTTCAAGAGTATACCACAGTTGTATATAAAGGAATTGAAAATTCAGTCAACACATCATTCAGAAGTTTCAAACAATGAACTTTTTCAAAAATTCCAAAAATCCTCCTCCACAAAAACTAGAGAAACGTAAACGGTTAAAATATAACAAAAGAATAAAAGCAAAGATCCACAAAATAACCCATTCCTCATATATCAAGCAGCCAGCCTGGCTTCAGCCTTGTCCTGAAACACATCACTCCTAGCCCTGAGCTCCTGTTCCAACCCATACCCTTCAATAGCCTCAGCAGACCCAAAGGGCATGGCAAAGAACCCCTTGGCATACTTGGTCAAAGAGCCCAGTCTCATGTTTCCAGGTTCCCCAGCACCAGAGCAACCCTCACCAGAGAACTTCCACAAGTCAGGCTCTTGCATGTAGCTCTCAATCTGTTTCAAGCTGGCATCAAATTCCATAGATGACTTGAACAACTCAAACCTGAAGTCCTGTGCATGTCTGGCTTTCTTCACCTATAAACACCAAATAAATTTGACAAGGGGATATGAGACTTGGATGAGGGATTTTTTTCTTAATTTTTTACCCCAGCTCCCCTCAGATACACCAGGAATTTGGACTTGATGGGTGCAGGAACTTGACCCATGTAGTACTGCACTGCCTCTATCACAGAAGAGACTCCATTGGAATAGGAACTGGCCCCAGGGGTCATGTTCCCAAATCTGCCCCAGTGTTTCCTCAATGGCTCCACAACTTTCCTCAGGTCATCCATAAAATTGGTGAAATTCCTCAGCCACTCATAAATGCCTTCCAGTTGTTCACCAACCTAAACCACATCAACAACTATTTCAGGCAAATGTATTGAATCTCTCAGAAAAGGGATCTCATGACAAATTATGATCCTGCATATATTTTCCAAGTTCATTTCAAGGCTTTTCAACACTGAATTATACCAATTGCAGTAATTAACACAGATTTGACAAGAATGTTACTAGTAGGTCCACTGATATTAGTGAACATAATACAGTTCTAGAAATATTATAGTGAATTACTGCCTCCAGTTGTTCTCTATTTGTTCACTCATCTGCTCCACCTCCTTGTGTTTTGGGTTCACTTCTGACAAAAAAATTAATGTTGAAGTATTCCCAGCAGAAGCAGCACATGTTGAAAGTACTGTACTCAAATACTGGCAAATAAAATGGAATTCCTTGTCAGTGCTATTTGACCAAGTCAAGGCAATTTGCTTCTACCCAGCTCCAGGGCTGGACAGGGAATGACATACACCAGGCAAGAGCTAGCCCTTATACATAGCACATTGTGAGCTTTATTACAAAAAAGTACTTTAAAATACAGCGGGGTCTTGGTTTACAAACATGATCCATTCCAGAGGAAAGTTTGTCCAACAAAATCACATTTTCCCTCAAAAAGAACAGAAATAATTTTAATTGGCTCCAAAACATCAAAAGTGCCCATGAAATTCAAGAAAATGTATTACAAAATGATTACTTTGCCTAGAATACAAGAAATTTGCTTGATTAAGTACAAGAGAAACTCACAACAGCCCTTTTATAATTTGAAAGTTGTCCCACTCTTGGACATCTGCTGGTAAAGTTCTGATATTTTTAAAAATAAATTTTTTTTAAATTTTCTGGTCAGAAGTTTGAAATGATAAGATTCTTCTTACCTATATTCAATGCAGGATTTCAGATTGGAAGACTTTTGATCAATGCATCAATAACAGATCAGAAATTGTGTTGATAATAAATCAGGAAATCAGACATTTGAAAACAAAATTTCTTTGACCCAATCACAAATCAAGCGACCAAAGTTTGCAAACCAAGTAAGGTTTTGTTATCCAAGGCAGCGCAGAGGCCCAAACCAAAAAGTTTGTAAGCCAGGGTGTTCTGTCAACCAAGACCCCAGCCAGCACTTGTCACCACAAGAGGCGACCTCTATACTATAAACATTTTTTTAGTAGATTAAAAAATTAATCTAAAAAACCACGTTTTCAAAAAGCAAAATATAACCTTAAACGTGGTGCGCATCTATTTCATTTGTATTTCACTTCTTCCCAACAATCTCCATGCGCACCACGTTTAAGGTTATTTTTTGCTTTTTGAAAACGTGGTTTTTTAGATTAATTTTTTAATCTACTAAAATTTTTTTATTCTTTTTAAAAAATATTCTTAAAATTTATTTTTTCACAAAAGATTGCATTGTCATCAGTTTCTAGGCTATCCTGAAAGTTTCAGCTTGATAGCTAGTCGGGAAGTGAGTGAAATTTGAGTTTCAAAATTTGATCCGGACAAACAGACAGACAGACAGACAAGAAAAGTGAGTTCATAAAAACGTGGTAAAAAGGCGCTCAGCACTCACCCGTCTCTTGGTCTTGACCAGCTTCGCAGCCCACTTGATTTGCCGCATGGCAGCAGTCATGGGATCACTCACGATATCCTCAGACAAAATGTTCATGTAGAAAGCCAGCTCGTTGAATTCCATCTGCTCTTCCAGCTTTGAAATGTAATGAAAGGCTTGTCCTTCGAGCGCGAAAAATTGGCTGCCCAGTTCTGCATCAATGATGGGATCGTCCATCAGACTAGAGATGTCCGCGTAACGCCGGGAAATGCTCGTAGCTTGCAACTCCAACAAATCTCGTTCCGCACTCAAGTATCTGACGAGAGAAAAAAAAAAGAGTTTAATTACAGTGGAATCTCGTTACAACGCGAAGCAGTTGTTGGGGACTCGGAATGAAAAGCTTGATGGTTAAATATGATAATTTTGAACATTTGGGGGTAATTGGTGGAACTCTTAAATTATCATCACTGCCTTACATTATACTGTTGATATACAAGGGTAGACGTCTTAATATCTACCTCAGGGTAAGTCCAGCTCATTTATAAAAGTAACCTCATCATAAAATAAAATTATCAAATAATTTACATTGCATTTTATTTCAAATCAAATATTCAATACAGTATACATTACATAATCAAATGAAATATCAAATACATTATACAGTATCATCAAATGAAATATCAAATACAGTACATTAAATCATCAAATGAAATATCAAATACATTATACAGTATCATCAAATGAAATATCAAATACATTATACAGTATCATCAAATGAAATATCAAATACATTATACAGTATCATCAAATGAAATATCAAATACATTATACAGTATCATCAAATGAAATATCAAATACATTATATCATCAAATAAAATATCAAATACATTACATCATCAAATGAAATATCAAATACAGTACATTATATCATTGAATGAAATATCAAATACATTATATCATCAAATACAGTACATTATAACATCAGATAAAATATCAAATACATTACAAGTAGTTTACTTTATAGTTTATGTCATGTAATATAGTAACTTACTTTATAGTTTATGTAATATAGTAGTTTATGTCATGTAATATTGTAGTCTATTTTATAGTTTATGTAATGTAGTAGTTTACTTTAATAATATACACATATCATCAAATAAAATATGACATACAGAAAATTAATTTCAAAAATGGAAATTGTATTCAAATTTACTTGTAGCCGTGCAAGTCGCGCAGAGCATCGTAGGTTTCCACGTAGATATCAAACCGTTTCAAGAACACAGAAAGCATGGCTGTGGTCAGACCTCGGATCTTCTCATAGTAACTCTCAAAGGACTCCTTCACCAATGGTGCTTCATACCTCAGCATCTCTTCATTCGCAAAGTGGGTGTCCCACAATTCAGGGGCAATGTTACCTGAGGAAAAATTAATTTATTTTAATAAAAAAGGATGAATTCTTTTAAAAGAAGCATACAGAACATTCATATTCACTGCCAAAAAGGTTATAATCTAATATTTTATAGAGCAGTGTCCCCCAAACCTTTTTGGGCCAGCAGACTGGCAAAGCTCCATTACATTGTTTTTTTTGGACCAGCAAATTCCCAAAATATCTTCTGCAGACCAGCGAAGGTTCATAACATTTTTGTACCTCAAAATATTTTGCTTGAAAGACTTTATGGCAGGTATTAAAAAGTTTCTGCTTTTTTCCCAAAAATTGAGTTGAGCACAAATGAAGCAGATTTAGCTGAATGACATGAAAAAATCAGTAAGGTGGGCTTGAAGACAGATTTCTCAGAATGAAAAATTGAAATCATTTATTTCTGAATGTGAAAATTTGTCTGGAGTGTTATTAGAAAAAAGCAAACTTTTATTTTTCATCAGATAATTTCAACTGCCACAACTGTCTTTCCAAAATTTTAGAAAGAGACAACAGAGTTTATTGCTACTTGTGATACATTTAATATGCTGAAAATTTTCTGCAGACCACAGGTTAAGGAACACTGGTATAGAATGATACAATCTTATATAGAAAGGAAGATAAAATACTGTACCACATTACACAAAGATATGAATTCTTATACAAATCATATACTTTACATGAAATCTTATACAAAAAGATTAAATTTTATACAAAAACATGAAATCTTATACAAAAAGATGAAATCTTATACAAAAAGATAAAATCTTAAACAAAAAGATGAAATCTTATACAAAAAGATGAAATCTTATACAAAAAGATTAATCTTATACAAAAAGATTAAATCTTATACAAAAAGATTAAATCTTATACAAAAAGATGAAACCTTATACAAAAGATTAAATCTTATACAAAAAGATGAAATCTTACACAAAAACATGAAATCTTGAGCAAAAGCATGGAAACTAACAAAAATAAGCCCTCCTGTCTAGTTTCAAGATTTAAAACAATAATCAATACAGAATAGACCATAATACTGTACTAAAATTTAGAGTGTTCAGATAAAATGCAAAGAGGATATGATAATATACCAGTTGTGACATTGGCAATGAGCTCCTTGGCACTCAACACCTTGAAGACCCTAGTGAGAACACTGGGCCAAGAAGGGGGTGCCAGAGTGCCAGGCTGTAAGAAGTTGCCCTTCTCCATTGTGACCTCATTGTTTTGTCCTTGAGGGACACAAGAGGTATCTATGGACATGTGTTCTGGCCTGATGTAGCCCACACATGGGATGGTCACTGCTCTGGTCCATCCTCCAACCAATCGCTCTTTCCCACCACCTTCTTGCTCCTATTGGCATTATCATTATTATTCAAGGCATCAATGTTTCATAAAAATAAGTAAATTAGTAAGTAAAGTAAATTTGAACCAAATTTGAATTTTGTTTTTGAGTTAGAGAACCCAGCATTTTTTCGGTGGAAAAATGAAGAAAAATATGCAGGAATGTAGAATTTGTGATACTTTGGAACTTCAACTACAGAACACTTGTTAAAAAAGGAAAAAAGTAAATTATTTTTTTATTATCTCCACAAAGGGTATCAGGGATCTTCCTGAAGGAAGGACATTTAGGGATGATGAACAGTTATAAAAATGTTGGCAGAAAATTTCATTTCAATTATTCTACTCAAATGAAGCCAAATGTCAAACCCTCAATTGAAAATGCATTTAAAATTTTCACAAACAGAGGCTTGACCCCAAAAAAATGTAGATTTACACAAATGTAAATTGCAATGGGCTTGATGGCCATGGGTCAACTAGAGTCAAAATCAGAGAGGATGTTGACTCAGAAATGCATGACAAGGTTCAACTGAAAATTTAGTACCATTTTAAATTGTGGATCCTGTTCATCAGAGCTGCTGCCATCTGGATCATTTAAACTGTTGCTTGATTTCCATTGCAGAGCCAACTGCTGCTCATTCATGCCATTGGTCATGTAACCACATCTTGACCCTGGAGCAAAAGTTCCAGATTTCAGTGATTCTGCATGCAGGGCTGCATCAGGACACAAGGTTTGTTGCAACATGATGGATGAAAATTTATCCAAAGAAAAACCTTCAGCAGGATCTAATGATTGTACAATTTTGATTAAGGGCTAACAGTGTTTGGTAGTCCCAAGATTTTTGTAAATAATGTACAACTGATTATATATTCATTTGGTAATCTCACTCTTGTTACTTCTCTCAGGAATGATAGAAAAACCTTCACCTAATTCTCACAAGTTTTCAATTCCAGTCAGCAATGAACATGGAACTCTTTGTTGGACATTCACAGAAACATTTGTATACCATTCAAATCATATCAGTGTAATGTATAGATAGAAAATGCCTTTTTTGAGTTGAATTGAACTGCAAGCTTCATTTCTGCTTTTCGGCATTCAAAATAAGGTTAAAGCAATGTTCCCATATGCTGATGTAAATATATACACTTTCTTCGCTTACCTGATAAAAAAAACAATATCAGCAATATGAATTGCAGCACAAGGCAATTACTAAAACCAAATTAAAGCACAAGGTGTTCAGCCTGCTCCCAGATAAGGTTTAGTTTATTCAACAATTCCGGAAGAATCTTTGATGAGAAATCATTTAAGGTTAACAGTTTATCTTGGTCCTCTAAGATTTTGGAAAGAGCCTTTTCATTGAATTTCAAGAGTGCCAAATCTCAATTAATTAATTAAATAATTAAAATTAATTGAAGCTTGAAAATTGATTTTCACAATTACCCAAGCAAAGAAATGAATACTAGAAATACTTGCCAAATGATTATTCTGAGAACCACATGTATGTAATTCTCACACCAATTCTCAATGAGCTCTTGAATACATGTGAAAAGAACTGTGGGTCACATAAACCAAGTACAAAGAAAAAAATATATCACAGGGAATGGAATACATCTAATTACCTCAAAAACAATTGGAAACAATTGCATGTTGGAAAAATTGAAATAAAATGCAGGTACATTATTTAAAAACAAAATTCAGCCAACAGCCATCATCATCATCATCATCATAATGTGAAAATCAAACATTGATGAAAATGCCAACATAAAGTTTGACACAACTGTTCAAAATGAGCCAATGATGTGATGATGACACCATCATTCGCGCCAAAGTAAGAAAAAAAAATCTACTTTTCATATTCAATAAATACTTTTCTTTTGCCAGTTTCAATAAACCATTCATCATAATGCGACGCGCAAAATACATTTTTGTGCTTGTCATTTTAGCTTCAGTGTTGACCAACACAACGTGCAAAAAAACGAAGAAAAATATAAAGCACAAGGATTACGCTTCGTGAGTCGATGATAAATGCGCAGAATCTGAAAAATTTCGAACCTTTTTTTTTAAACAATAATTCTAAAAGCAAGAAACGAAAAAAATGAATTAAATTAAAGTTGTGTAGTTTTGAATCGATTTTGTTTCACATCTTCATCACGCCTGAGTTAACGCAATTTTATTTTATTTTCGCAACTAGAAAACGGACTTGACGGAATTAAGAAATCTGATGAATTGTCAAATCTTGACAAAATTTCCAATTTCATTCAAAATTTCCAATTTCATTCAAAATTTCCAATTTCATTCAAAATTTCCAATTTCATTCAAAATTTCCAATTTCATTCAAAATTTCCAATTCTCCAATTCATTCAAAATTTCCAATTCTCCAATGCATTCAAAATTTCCAATATCATTCAAAATTCACAAATTGGAAGCCACTGAATTTTGAAAAATACTTGAAATTTCAAGCCAAAAATTCTGCCAATTGTCGCAAATCTTTGGCCGGAATTGCGAAAAATTTTCTCAATAAAAATAAAGGCAACGTTTTTTAGACTTTTGGCATTTAATTTTCATTCGGACATAATAACGGTCATAATATTTCGAAAAAATTAAATAAATTGTAAAATATTTTAGAAACTTTTCCCAATTGGAAAATATTATCTTTTTTCAATTCCAACAAAGTGAGGGTAAAATTTAAAACAGGAACTTTTCTAAAAAAAAAATCTGCTTTCATTGAAATGCTCCGAATAAAAAATTATTGAAAAAAAAAATTAAAATACTTGATCGCCTCGAATTCTAAAACTTCCGCAATTCTTTTTTTTTCCAGTCACCAAGTGCTGCGATTAACTTTCAAGAATGAACAAGCGGGGAATAAATTATTCCGGGAACTTAATTCAAAATTGAAAAAACCGGATTTGGATGTTTGGAGGAGAACCAAACGCGAGGCGGACATTTTGGTGCCACCAGATCACTTTTCCAAATTGAGGGAAATTTTTTTACGTCTTTCCGTCACTTGGAAAACACTGATTCAAGACGTCGAACGGTGAGAGAGAAAAAAAGATTTAAAATTAAATGGTTCAAAAGTTTTGTCAGTGCTTAAGAAAATGCTGTTTTTGCACAAGTATAAAAAAAACACATGGATTAGATGATCTATAAAAAATCGCTTTTTCATCATTCACAAATTTTTACATAAGGATTTTTGTAAATTTTTTCCTTCTTAAAAAAACAACTCAACTTTTCTTATATTAGGGAAACTCAAAAGTCTGAATTGAAAACTTGCTGAAATTCATGCAATTTCTTGTCTGAAAATAAAAATAAAATCAATTTATTAACTTATTAACTTTTTGGGCAATAAAATAATGGTTTTAAACTAGGAAATAATTTTATAAGACCCATTGCACCAGAAATTAGTGTTTATCCATACAAAAAAAGTAAAGCAATGCACTGACAAAATTGACAAACCAATGATATTGCTTCATCACTCAAGGATTTGAATTTATACAGAGAAAAGTCATCCCAGTGCAACAAAAGGAATTCCCAATTTGACTTGAACACTTACAACAAGTACAATAAGGTAAAGAATAATGATGAAAATGTAACAGACTCACTATTTAACTACAAACTCATTCAATATCCACTCAGATCCATGCCTGGCTAGATATTGTGGCAGCTGCTCATCCCTCAGCAACATCAACAGTGATTGGGAAATCCTTTGAAGGAAGGGAAATCAAAGTCATCAAGATCAACACTGCTGGAGCCAAAAATGTCATTGTGATTGATGGCGGTACTGTACACAGTTTCAAAATGCAGTACAGTAAAATCTCATTACAACAAACCATTCTCAAAAACTGGCAATTGCATATTACAACAAATATCAAAATTGACATTTCAAAAATATCATCATCAAAAGCAAGAATTATGACTAGTACATGGCTGCAAAGTATGCTATTCAAGTAAATTTCTTGAAAGTTTTCATACAAATGTGACTAACTGGGTTACTCGAAAGAAGCTTTTCAAATTTGAAATCCCACAATAAAATTGTGCAATACAGAGATTTGATTTCAGGATTTCATGCAAGAGAATGGATTTCAGTTGCAACAGTGGTAAACTTGATCCATAGGATGTTCACCAACTATGACAAGCACAAGACCATCATAGACTCATTTGAGTGGCACTTCATCCCAGTCTTCAATCCAGATGGATATGAATACACTCATTCTTCAGTGAGTATAACAACTTCTCAAATCCACAATCCCAAACTGCTTTTTTTTCATGAAGAAAATCACAAAATCCTTTCAAAGATTTTGTTAAAACAAGCATGTTCATGACTCCAATAAAATCTTCACCTTGACCAAAAAAAAAGGGGGGAGCAGACCTTTGAAAGCTATTCACATTGAATTCTTGGGATTTTTGACAAGAGATGCAGAAATGTTCCTGGCATTTTATCCAATTCTTCAACACTGGCAAAAATGTTTCTTTTTAAAGGTTTAAAAGAGTACCTAGATGATGCCCAAGCATTTGAAATTCTTTCCTCATGGGTGTCCCTTTACTTGGCCAAAGTTTGAAAGTGAAATGAGCTGCAATCACTGCATTTACTTGTCTGTATGTTGACACAGGAAACACAAATTTGTTATTAATTTTCATTCATTTCCCAGTCATTTTCTCAAAAAATTATGTTTGTTATCCAAACTTTTAAGTGGACACTCCATAAAAAAATCCACAGGACCAGAAAAATTTGTTGTAGAGAACCCTATGGGTCAAAAACTTATTTTTGGAGACAGAATCTGCTTGTATACAAGTAATTCTCTCCAAATGTTTTCATCAACTAAACCTTATCTGGGAGCTGGCTGAACACCTTGTGCTTTTATTTGGGTTTAGTAATTGACTTATGCTGCAATTCAGCTTATTACTGATATTTTGTTTTTGTTATCAGGGAAGGGAAGAAAGTGTATGTAATTTACACCAGCTGTGCAATTTTACATTTTGGGATGTATCCAGATACAGTTACTGTACTGCTTATTTCTCTGTTTTCCATTCTGATGTGATGGAATGTGTTTGGATGAATGTGGGTGGGTTTAGATGTGGGAACGTTGCTTCAATCTTATGAATGCTGAAAAGCGGCAAATAAAGTGTTCTGTTCATTCATTCACATTTGGTGTTGGCAGATTTTTGAGGAGAAAGTCTAACTCACAAAGTTGATTTTAAAAGAGCTAAAAAAGTAGGCTTGAATTAAAGAATAAAAAAATTGAAAGAAATGCAAAATCAGCCAGGCTTCAACTGGGACTTGATAAGTCCTAGTATTGTAACTTTGGTGCATTTCTTTGTTGGAACAGAAATCAAAAGATTTGGAATTTTTGAAACGAAGTCAGACTGAGGAATACACATTTAATTCACATAACAAAAATGATTTGCTAGCTTTTATCTGGAGATCTGCGTAGCAAAAAATAACAACTGCAAGTGCCAAAAATGGGCAAGAGAAGGAAATCAGGAAAGCTTTGACAGTTTACGTTCGAAGGTCAATTTCAATAGGCAGAAGAACTTTATTTCAGGAATTTCCTTGCTGAGCCTGGGAACCAAACTTGGGTTTGGTTCATGGGCTATTTGGCTCACAAAATATTCTATATTAGCCTGACACCATAAAAATGGATAAGGAATTCTTGAAGTCATTTGAGAGACCTTTCGGGAAACCCCCAGCTGAAATGGATGGGTATAGAAGTGCGAAAAAAGGGCAGCTGCTCCCATAAGAGGAGGAGGTTTGGGAGAACGTGATGAAAATTTTGGCGCCTGTCGTCAATTCACTAGTAACTATACGATGTATACAGTAAGCAAGCCCTTGTTGGCAAAGGAAAACTGCTGTTACTTCTTTACTGTATACGCATACGGACAACCCGGGTAATGTGGGTAACAGCGGGGGGAACGAGCCATTTTTCCTTGACTCACATTCACCCGTCATTTCATCACTTGGTGCGATTGAGAACGTTGCCGTTTGTAGCATATGCGGCTTGTAAATGCAAGCTTTCAAGGAAATGTTGTGCACTATAATACTGCAGGGTGATTCAGGCCCATACATTCCGAAAGTTTCGAAAATTCATCGAATGAAGATTCCTAAATGTTCTCTTTCAATAAGATGCAGTCAAGAGATTGTATAGCGTTCCTCTTATAGAGTCATAAATAATGGCACCGTTTTTTTCCCATCAGCATTGAGAAGATGTCGAGTTTCTAGTTCAATACCTGCTTTCTTGCAGAATTTTGGTGACCTGAAAAAAAACTGCAAAGATGAGCCTGCATCAGTTCTGGCTTCTTCCGAAAAATTTCTGCAGCGTGCGAAAATTTTTGTTGTTGAGAAAATGGGAGTTGGATGAATGGTGTAATTACGAGATTGGTGAAACAGGACCTCTATACATGAGGAAAAATCTATACCTGGAAATCTAAAAAAATAAGTGTTTAACGCTTTGAAATAATTAATAATTAATAATAAGAATAATTAAATTGCTGGCGCTTCGGATTGAATGAATGTCAAGACATAAGTTGTATTCCGAGGAAAAGCGATTACAGTCAGTCGGAATGGGATAAATCAGGCTGAAATATTGTTTCAAGCTCAGAAAGTTGATTGAAATGAAGTTGATTGAATGAGCTCTTGGTCGAGTAACATTTCTCTTTTCTAAATATAATTTAAACCGGTCGAAAGAAATTGATGCCTACATAATCATTCCACTGCTTTTTCGTCAACTATATAGAACCGGAGATTTACCAAGATATTCTTCATACCATTTTAGAGAAATTCACTGGACTTACAACCTTGTTTCAAATTTCTATCCTGAAAAAAAAAAACTTCAACACAGCAGAAGCCATACCTAAGCTTCATGCACGAAATCTGAAGTCAAATATCTGTCCGCAGAAATTTTTCAAAATCCTTCGGCTTATCCACAGGGCTAAACAAAAATGTCAATCTTTCGCAGAACTGATTAAAGTAATCTTGGGCACAAGTTCGTCGGGGTTTCTAAGAAAAACTTTCAAGTGTTTTTAGAAATATTATTCAAAGCACTGGAACTATGTTGGAATATGAGCCATAGAATGGAGCAAATATTGTTCTTGCTTATATTTTAAAACAATTTTTTCAGAATTAAAAAAAATAGCAGTGTCGAAACCAATTTTAGTTTTATATGTCAGTGTTCCCAAAACTTTTTGGTCCAGCAGTGGACCATCAAATTTCCATAGAATTTTTGGCAGACTGGCAAATTTCAAAAAAAAAAATTCTGCGGACTGGCAAAGTGTCATACAATTTTTGTGGACTCATAAACGTTTTGCTTGAAAGAAGCGTATTCGAAATTTTTCTGCTTTTCTGGAAAAAATAGAGAACTATGAAGTAGCCATAATGAAATGTCTTCAAAAAATTAGAAATATGGGCTTGAAGAAAGGTTTCTCGGAATGAAAAATGAAAAGAATTCATTTCAGCATGTGAAAATTGTCTGAAGTGTTCTTAGGAGAAAAGCCAACTTCTATTTCCCATCTGATAATTTCAACTACCATTTTATGTCCAAAATGCATGCCTGTATAACACAACGACGTTAAGGCAGTTATGCTCATTGATCATCATTGCGTATGTTGGGCATGCACACTGGGTACAATAACGTACATTCTTAGAAACAAAGATGTTCCCCCCTCCTCAAAATCGCAGTGCCAGGAACATCCTGGCACTGCAGCATATTTGACAATAACTTCTCCTTCTCTGATTGTAAAGTAAACCCTTATGAAGGTTAATTAATATTTGTCATATATAAGCTAGGAGCGCATTTTCTCAAGATTATCAGATCAGTTTAATCAACTGTGTTATTCACAACTTATTCACATTTACTCCTGATAGTTGGAAGTCAAACTCCTTGAGTTGTTAATCAGTTGTGTTTATTTGAATTATATTTAATCCCTTTAAACTAGGAATTCCAAAAAGGAATCCCGGTCCTGTCCCAGACTGAATAATGTGTTTTTATTCTATCTTTAAAGCACTGGACATCAAATTATATTGAGGTCTTTTGTGCCCAATAGCATAGAATATTATAATGTCTTTATCACAAACATACTTTGCATGAAGAGTTCTTTACACACACACATGCACACCCCGCAGTCATATCCAACAGTTGAGGCATCAAATTCCATAAGCTTCCCGCACTAGCTTGTCACTGACCCAGAATGACACATGACAACTTTTCCCACCACCACATTTTTATTCCATGCCCAAGCTATAATGGGATCGACTTTTCTTTTCCAGCTGGAAAGCGGACTTGCATCCGTGCAGAAAGAAAAGCGGGAATGAACAGGAAACTTTTCCTAGATGCCTCGCATTAGAAACGCAGGGAGGTGGGATCCATGTACAAAGAGAAAATGCAGAAAATTGAGAAAAGAAATGTTACATTATAAAAGCCACAAGCAACAACTGTGGCTCCTGAATGCGAGTACATTGTCTTCGTTTTTATTAATTCTAACCCATAGACGATGTTTCGAAAAGCTCAAAACCATTCTCAGAATGTATTCGTTGTCTTCCAAAAATATTTGCGCGTCTGAGACAGAAGTTTTCAACTCTTTGCCTCTTTTTTAAAATTTTAAGCAAATTTCGTAACTTGAATTGTGTCGCAATCCGTATATAGAAGTCAATTTGAGTGTAACTGCATATTGTAAAAACGAAGTGGAGGATCGTCCCTACTGCAAATTGAATAGCTTTCAAAAACATTTTTAGCAGAAAAGCCCTTGATATTGCAGAAAGAATCAGGCCAACATAATTTTCAGTGAAGTAGGTTTTATTACTTTTGTTTGAAAAATTTCTGATTCTCAATCATGATCCATTTAACTAGGTGGAAATTTAATATTTCGAAAAGTATATTCGTTCACTGTGTATCCATTATTTTGGGCCTATTAATGTTTACTTCAGCAACGTTTTCCATCAGTTCGAGAAATCCCGAAGAAACCTTCCAAATTTGAGCAGTACATTATACTGTATTCTGCCAGTTTGGAATAAGAATTTTGAGGCCAATAAGAATTTTAAAAATTGTATTTATTCACGAGATAATGAGGGTCGTGAAGTTAATCTTCATCGTAGAATTAAGAGGAAGACTATACATCATTTTTATCTATTTTTAAGACATTCGCGCGGATTAATCATCACGTGACCATTTCTTAGCTGTAATAAAAATATTCAGTCATCACATAAGAAAATCAGTGATCATTTAGCAATTTAACAACCAAGGATTTATTTGTTCATACTAATTCAAGACAACAATATTGCAAATTTCAACTTCCTGCAATTCTCTACCATCCCAAGCAAAAAACATTGTTTCCGTGACTGGAAACTCCTCTCCAAGTGGATTTTTATTTTCCTTGTCCCTTGAAGTTTGAGTTCAAGAGGCTGCACTAGCAGTACCACAAAAAAAAAGACTTAGGGAAGTTTCGATTTAGGGAGGTTTAGGGTTCAACACAGAAAACAAAAAATTAAGGATGTTATAACACCCAAAAAGGCCATATATTGATCCCCTACATATATTGAATTCAAAACAAGGCTAGGAAGAGATTCTTTCCTTTCAATTTTGAAAAGATGCCCGTTTTTTTGTAAGTGGGTCATTGCTGCAGTAATGAAAAGAGACATATTTTCAATGTACTCGGAAAATTATTGAAGACCAGTTATGAATGATTGAGGGGGCAAATGAGAGCAAGAAATGGTTGCGACTTCCCCGCAGGCGGCGCACGCAAGGACTTATATACTGTACACCGAAATGGGGGTCTGAAACGCTGCGAGCCCAGGTCGAAGTATGGCTTATAAACAGCTCGTCGTCGGCAGGAACTCGTCAGTGTTGACCTTGCCGTGGAGCAGCGAGGTCTTCTGCTTCGGAGGCAAAAGTGCCCTAGTATATATATATATTCCCCCTGAGGGTGAGGTTATTATCCACGTGATAGTGTGTGTGTGTGTGAGTGAGTGCAACTTGTGCCTAGTTTGTGACATCACTTACGTTCGCGGCAGACGTAGTTCTGTTTGGCGTGAAACTTTCCTTCTTCTTTTGACTTCTTTTCCGTCCTCTGCTGCGTCGGATAAGTTGGACTTCTTCGTCGCAAGATTCATCGGCAGTTCCGGGGTATTTTCTGCCAAGATGCGATGTGGTGAAGTGGACATTTTAATTAATTGATGAGATTAATCACATTTTTTAAAAATTATTAACGCCTATTTTTCGCCATCATTGCTCAAATTTTAGCAGATCTTCCAGAAATTATCAGATTTCCTGAGCTGTTTCGTGGTACTATGCCACTGAGGAAACGAAAACACGCATACAAATTAATGTGCTCGTATTTTTCCAATCCGAAAAAATGCAAATTTTTTTCTATAGGGAAACGTGAATTTTTTCAATTGCACATTTCCATTCAAGTTATAATTAAAATTAGCTTTTTCGCAAACGTTAAACGATGAATTACCTCTTAAAACCTGCATGAAGCCGGATTCGACAATATGAAGCAACGAAGACCACATTTTATCCCCCCCCCCCCCCCGTGTTTTGCCAATTTTCGTAAAAATGTTGCAAGCATTTATAGTCATAAAAATCAAAGGCTTCTGAAATTGAAATTTTTATAATTGAGCAAATTTTGCTGTTACTTTGACAAAACTATAACGAAATTTACATAAACCTGGAACGCTGCACGATAAATATTTAGTGATCGGCATACAGCTTATGCATAAATTGGCGGAGTTCACCAGTAAATATATTTAATGATGACTTCCAAATTATAATTGTTTTCTTATTTATATTTTTATTTATGCCGGAAAGAAGTCAGTCTTTGCTCTACTGTCGTCAGTTGAATCTCAATAATAATAATACTTGGAAAATTGTTAAAGACAAGTTATGAATGCTTGAGGCGATAAATGAGAGTGAGAAATGGTTTTGACTTTCCAGAAGTTGGCACTGTATAAAAAAATGGGGGTCTGAAACGCTGCGACCCCAGGTCAAAATTTGGCTCATAAACAGCTCGTCGGCAGGAACTCGTCAGTGTTGACCTTGCCGTGGAGCACCGAGGTCCTTTGCTTCGGAAGCAGAAATTCCCTAGCTATTCAGTGTTCCTTTCTCTAAATTTCGAACGCGAATCCCTAATTTTTGACGAAACCGGAAAGTGAGAAAAATTAAGCGGAAAAGGTTTTTATGATTATCAATCAGAACTGGACATAAAGCCGTCTGCATTTTCCATTTGACCTTTCAAGTGCACAGTACAGAAATATATTTATTCCCCGTGCTTTCAACTCAACCGAAATGACGTGCCGAAAATCATAGTACTTCGCGCAAAATTTTCGCCATCATTTTCATCCTCGCGTGAGCCATAAAAGCCCCACGATTTTTTTTTTTCGGTGAGAGAATAAAAACGTGACTTGAAACGCACAACTTCCGCAGTCATCATGCGTAGCTGAACCATTCGCAAGCCATTATGCGATCGTTGAATATTTAAGAACCCATAAATCGACGCATTAAAATTACCATAAATTCATTTGATGCATTCAACTGTCCGCCAAATCGCGGCACTGACGCGAAAATATTGCACGCTTTGACCGAAGCAACACAATATTCCCGAAAAGGAGAAAATCTATTTTGAAAAATTCCTGCATGTTCTTTTTTTGTTGTGCAAACAAATTTAGAAACGGTGAAAGAACTTTTCGGAGTTGTGTGAGTTAAATTTATTTTAATTTGGCATCGGACACCGAAACTACCCGACATCAAATGAATCAACGAAGGAACATGGAATTGATTGTTGCTGTTGAAAGTCATAATTTCATTTAGAGTCTTTTTATTTCCATGGAGAAAAAATTATTATATTTTTTTATTTCGCGGAAAGTATTTCTCCTCATATCATATGTGATTAAAATCGTTCAGCTGAGAATCGTAGTCTTGTTTGCTGGGTCAGAAATATTTTCATGTGACTTATTTGAATCGAGTTTTAAGTCTTTTAACCTAAATAATTTCGACTTATATTTTTTTCATCAGAAAAAATCATGCACATTACCTGCGGACATAATGTGCTTCTGAATATTCTGTTCAAGAAAAAATTATTTTTACGGAATCGGACTTGAAAATGAGGCTTCATCTTATATTTAAGTATTACGCAATTCAAGAATGCTCAATTATTACCAGTTTTGTGAGTTTTTCAAGTTTTTCCGAGGTTACCGAGATCAGTTCTCCAATAAGCCCTGAAAAAACTCGTTTTTGGAGCGACCAAGCCGTGTTTTCTACACAAAATGCAGGTTCAAACAAATTAATGTTAAAATGTTCAAGTAATGCTTTGAAAAGCGATGGGAAATTATGATTCCTCAAGTCTTTTTTCCTAATAAAAATCAACTTGCGATTGTCTTCGACTCTCTTCAATTTGGGATAAATCCGGACAAAGTTCGATGCATGAAAACCCGGCCTTGTTTTACGACTTCCTCGGAAAGAAAATTATTGGGACTAGCTACTTCTTCACTTTCATGTTTCCTCTCACTGTATCTTGCGTGCTTCGAAAAGAAACATAACCCTTATCTTCAGTATCTTCAGGCCGAAATTCACGATCACGGAAACCCTGAAAAAAAAGTGGAGAGAAGGGCCCTTTTCCCACGGCGAATTTGACCTCATTCGTATCGTAGTCGTCCACTTCACCAACTTCGGTCACCGTGATGAAAGCGACGGGTGATCGAACAAACATTCTTTATATATAGAGGGACAGAGGCAGTGAGAGAGAAAAAAATAGGAGAGAAATCTAGGCAACAAAAATGAAGAAACCATATAAAAACAAGTTCAAGAATCAAGATCAACATCTGCGTCTTTTTTATTTTTGCCGTTTTTCACATGCAACCCCTCAACAGCATTTTTTTTTATTGGACTACTTCATCAAAGAGGGTCCTGTTGATCATTGACCTCAGCAGGGGTGACTGTTGGGGGGTCCTGAAGACCTCATTACCAAATAATTAGGTTTTGCTTTAATAAAGAAAGGCAAATGCACTGTTGGCCATTTGCGGCCTGAGGTGTCAATGTGTCTCACTCAAACAGTTGTGTATATTTTCACAAGTTTGAATTTCACAAGAACACACAAAAATTGTTGATCCTGTTCACAGCAGAGCTCAGCGTGGAGTGATGATTCTTAATGATGATGACAATTCTTGAGGTCAGGTCCTTCTCTGTGGAAAGTTCCACCAAGGTTTTTCCACTGAGGTGTGATTCACCTTTTGTGTTTGTAATTCATGATAAATCTTTTCACCAAGCAATGATTCACTTGGTGGACAGTTTTCTAATCAGGAATGTTTTTACCATTAGGTCAACTTTATTTGTATTTTATGTTTTGTATTTGTGTTGTCATGCAACGGTGACCTTCATATATACCACGTCGTATATTAGAGTAGTTTAGCAGTAGATTGTTGTACTGCAGTGCATTGTGTCATACTGCAGTGCGCAGCTGATGACTGCTGGATTTTTCATGAAAAATAATATTCACGCGTGGTTCTTATCAGCTGAATGTGAAACTAAATTCAGTAGCAGTTCAGCATACAAAACATTAAAAGCGCAAGAAAATATAAATTCAAGGAATAAACTTCAGCAAGGGGATTACATAATTTCGTACATAAAATTAAAATAAGACATTTTTCAACAATGTTTGCTATATACAACTTGCGGCAAAATGTTGGAAATATTTTCAAGTTACGGGTATATTTCAATAAAGCACATCTTTATTGGATCCCGTTCAAGACCTGCATGATTTTTTTTATGTTGTCTCAGAGTATTTACAGTATATGAAATGAAGCGTAAGGGATAAAGTTTGCAGGGTACAAGGACAAAATTTTCAGAAATGAACCAAGTATTCATTTCCTTGAGATTCACTCCAGTTGTTTGACAATTTTACACCTACTGGGATTGGTAGTGGTTCACACAATAATCAGAAAGAATAAAATCAACGTAATTAATATAATTTCCAAAAAAGTAAAAAAAATTCTGAAAGGTTTCAATAGACTCAATTTATTTCTCCGAATTCTGGCGCTATTTATCGCTTAAAAACAGATGATGGGGAATTCTGCACATGCAATAATAAAGGAATACGCATAAAATATTATAATTAAATTTTCCATTATCAAAAGTGAGCTTGACAATTTTTTAAATTCTAGCTGTGCAGCATAAAAGATCACAC